TGCTTCAAAGAAAGTTAAGAATGCTCTGAGCAAAAAGTGAAGGCTTAGCATACTTCATTAAGAAAGTGACACTAACTGGCCCCTATGGGTGGTCAAGAGGCTTTAACCTATCCTATTCCATCTACTATATTTATTAAAATCCAACATTTTGTAAATGTAGTAGTTATAACCAAAATGCATGGCAATTTGATTTTCAGGGTTCTCCACAGATATATGTCAAATTGACAATTGCACGATTGTATCCTGCTAAATCTAAATCACCCTCTTACATTAGAAAGCCAAACCAATCTTTCTTTGGCTCTTGTTCCCTTTATACTTAAACTCACTCAAACCAGTGATATGTTTTCTCTTGCCATTTCAGGGAGATTCTATGTATATATACTGGCAGCTTCAGTGACCATAAAGCAATAAACTACAATGCAGAAGTCAATCTGTGTTTAAGAAAAAGCCTAAATATTGGATTTTGCAAAATACAGTTGGTTTTCTGGGTGTACAGATTAGAAATTCACAATTAGGTCCTTTGCTCCCGAGAAGTCTTTTTTTTTTTTTTTTAAAACTATTTGGTTTATAGTTCAGTTGTTCCTGACATTTAACAGAAAAAATAAAAATGTTAAGGACTGAAACCAATCACCAATCAATAGCTCACACAGCAGCCTGATATGGCAGCTTCAGTGCTGCGTCTGCTGACTTCCTTGTTATCAACTGAAAAACATTCACCCCACAGCAGAGTCTGCATTCAACTTCTCATTCCAAAGCCATACACCATTCTGCCCAACAAAAGGCATAAATCGGCTGAGTCCCTTGAGTCATGACTAATTTTGTAAAATGTTGCAGCAACTTCATATCTAGAGTCTCAATAAATGCAGTGGTTGGCTCAGCCTCAAAGAACCTGAATGTGTCTGATTTAGAGTGGAAGTCTTAATGCTCGAAAAGTATGCCTGACACAGTCTCTAAACTGGCAGCCTGACGGCCTCACACAACACGGATGGTCAGTCAAAAAAGTCTACATTAGAATAAGAAACTGTCCAACAAGGTCAAGCATGAAAATTGGGCTAGCAGTCTTTCATCTACTCTTACAGGAATACTGGTCACACAAAATGTGTGGGAGGCATATCGAAATCCAATATGGATTCTATTTTTGTTTTGGAAGACATGCTTGCCCACCCCAAACTGATACAAGGCTGGGAATGTTGGGTTTTTCCTTAGTATTAGAAAACAAATTAATGGCAACTGTTGCTCCCTTCTGAGCTACCAAAGGGCAACTGGTACATTCACTCTGGGCATTATCTGTAAGAATCTGCTCACAGGTTTGTCTCCCTTAAGACTGGCAACTCTTTCTCTGATATTCTAAAGCAGTCTCTAGCAATGAAAAATAACTTACAAATCTTTTCTACCAATGTGCTGTGCTGAATGAGACTGCCTTGCTCATTCTTGCCACTCTATCACCACTCTTTTGAACCAGTAGTTTGGGTACTGCTCCCACCAATGAAAATTTGAGGCATTTTCACATTAACTGGAAAACTATGGTTTAGACTTTTGTCTTCAAAAAAGTTTCATTTTTTAGAAGGAAATTGCTAATGTGAATCCAATAGAGAAAAATGGTTACTGGTTTGAGAAACAGTAAAAACACGTTAATTCACTCAAAAAAAGTAGGTGACCAATTACTCAAAAAACAATGTTCCTGTTTCCATAAATAAATTCCCACGTTCGTCTGTTTCAGTTTTCTTATTCTAAAAAAAAAAAAAAAAAAAAAAAAAAGGCATAACAGAACCAATTAAATCAAAAGTGAGGATAAGAATTGGCCCTGAGTGCCTCAGCAAGGTGACATTAGCCCTTTAATGGACAGCTAAGGCTTTCAAGTCATTCCAGTAAAAAATTCCCATAAACCAGGATGCTACGTTATCTGAGTTTAGGAATTGTAAACATCTTAACAACAAGAGCAAACACCAACAGTTCTTATTACGTGGCTAGAACTTTTCAAACTGTAATTTCATTTAATCCTTATAACATATCAATGAAATAAGTGCTATCATTATTCCCACTGTACAGATGAGGAAGCTGAGCCACAGAGAGAATAAACAAATTGTCCAAAGTTAAGCAGCTGGTAAAGGCAGAACCATGACTCAAAGCCAAGCACTCTGGCTGCAGAGTCTCTCTATGGAACCGCAGTGCTTTGCTGCCTCCCCTGTTGTCCTCTATGTACACCAGATGACAAGTAGGGAATCCACATGTACATATGTAGAATACTCCATCAGAAAAGCTCATTTTGTTATGAAATAAAATCCAGGCCTACCTAAACAGAAAACATACTCCAAATAAACTAAAGCAAACCTATGTTTTCAAGATGGTAGACTTACCAAGCACATTTACCTCCCTTCATTTCTCAAATACCATTGATGATGGAAAACTTTTTAAAAAAAGAATAAAGCAGAATGGTACAAGACAACAGGCAAAAATAATATCAGAAATGAATCAATGGAGAAAATAGAGCAGAGTAATTATAACAAAAGACAGATATAAAAGAGGTTTCCTATAGAAATAGGAACTATCCTTCCCAACGAAACAAAGTATCACAGAAATGCAAATCTAAAAGCTATATGAATTGAGTTTCTGGGATGATTTTCTAAGTCATTTCTTCTTTCTTTCTTTCTTTTTTTTTTTTGAGCGGGGGGCAAGGCGGGGGAGACAGGGTCTTACTCTGTTGCCCAGGCTGGAGTACAGTTGGTGTAAACATAGCTTACTGTAGCCTCAACCTTCTGGGTTCAAAAGATCCTCCCACCTTGGCCTCCCAAAGCACTGGGATTATAGGCATAAGCCAACACGCCTGGCCACCTAGGTGATCTGTTAGAAGATGGCCTATAGCACTAGCACCTAAGAAGAGTTCTCTCAATAGGAAGTCATCCTAAGCATAGGCCTTGGGGCCAGAAAGAGAAGCAGGGTACAGTGTATACCTGGGCCTTTCCAACAAACACAAATTAAAACAAAAATAGCAAAGGCACCACTACCCAGGACTAAAATACTGTCAAGTGCCCCATCCCTGCAACAACCCCAGTTTCCTCACTCGCACCCTCCGCCTGGTTGTGAGCATGCCCAGCCCCACAGAACCGTGCAAAGCCCTCAGGGAGCCCTACCGATCAGGGAAGAGGCCTACTGCTGAAACAGTATTACAACACTTTTGAGGAAACCCATGTAATTAACCTAATCCTGATTTATAAATGTAACCATATATTTCTAAACACGAACAGATCATCAACGATCAAAACAATGTAAAATGCAAATAAATAAGATGAATGGAAACAACTCAAGGCTAACAGAAAAATTTGACAATGGAATTATATCAAATTCTCAGTTATCTCTACCAATGGAGGATTTAAGGTACAAGAACACTCAAAACTATTTGTAGCTGGCACTAAAAATGTTTTCTGATTTTTACTACAGTAAATTTACCACCTAAAGAAAATTCTACATAGTGATATTAAACATGAACTTTCATTCTCTAAGGATGTGTGATGGAGACCTATACTATGGCTCCAGCTCCAAGTTCAATATTTTATGCAGCCCTGGGCAAATTACCACTTTCTGTCTTAATTTTCCAATCCATTAAATGGGACAATAGTGGGGAACAGATGGAATCCAGCCTTGGCTGGAAAGTTTGCCATGGACAGTACTAGCTCTGGTCATACCTCTATAATTCCTAAGATAGGTCGATTTACAGTCAATAGTTGTGACCACTTTGTAAAGTTAAGAATAATAGGTTTATCCTCTTCAGGAGAAATTGAGAATAAGGTCTCTGCTTTTGTCAACTGATTTAAAAGAACACACTCTGAATTCTGTAGAGTCTAGAGTAAGCATCGCGGCATAAACACTGCTAGGAATTGATCTGTTAAATCCGGAAACCAAGGAAACACAGCAATTGAGTCCCTTCAGGTACTGCTCACCAAGGGACCAATGCACATACAGCTTCGAACAGTCAGATTTGTATCAGAGACTGAATTCCTTGGCAATCAAGTGGAGGTGCTTACTAAATATATACTCATTAAACAACCACCCCATTCCAAGTGTGGACCAAGCAACCCACTGTACTAACAAGTCCAGGGCTTACTCAAAAGGAACAAAAACTGGTCAAACACATTCACAGTCACTGGTACAACGGTAACAATGGACAGTCACTGCTAAAGCAGAATGACATGATATCAAGTATGTTAAGACAATATGCACACAAATCATGTCATATAAGAAAATGTTCCACAGTGCTTGTCAAGTTGAGGTTTTAATAGAAATCTTCTTAATTATTAAATTCTTTGTTGAAAAATGCTTTCCATTAAAAGAAATGAGAGAGACAGCAACCAAATAGCTGGACCTTAAATTCTGATTCAAATAAATTAATCATAAAAATGAAATTTATAAAACAAACAAAACTAAAGTGGTAGTGCTTATCTTTTAGAAATACATACTAAAGTAGTTGGGTGCCGGTGGCTCACGCCTGTAATCCCAGCACTTTGGGAGGCCAAGGCAGACAGATCACCTGAGGTCAGAAGTTTGAGACCAGCCTGGCTAACATGGTGAAACACCAGCTCTACTAAAAACACAAAAATTAGCTAGGTATGGTGGCACACACCTTTAATCCCAGCTACTCAGGAGGCTGAGGCACAAGAATCACTTGAACCCAGGAGGCAGAGGTTGCAGTGAGCCAATATCAGGCCATTGCACTCCAGCCTGGGTGACAGAGTGAAACTGTCTCCAAAAAAAAAACAAAATACTACTAAAGTGTTTGCTGATGAAATGATACAATGTCTATGATTCATATTAAAATAATATGGGAAGTTGATAGTGGTATAGATGAAAGAAGCCTGTCCATGTGTTGGTAACTGTTGAAGATGGGGGCTGGGTACATAGGGGCTAATTATACTACTTTTTCTGCTTTTATGTATAGTTAAGGTTTTCATAATGAAAAAAATGCTTTAAATACACAAATCAAATCAAAGGTGACTTATTCTTACCTGTATTAGAATCTTTTATTACAATGTCGGAGATTTCAAACAGTTTCAGAGGAAGGGGCATCTTACGATTTGCTGCTATGGTCTTCAGGAGGCCAGGAAGAAGGGTAGTGCGTGCCACCTACAGGAAAAGACATGAAATTGCACTGACCAAATACGACCCAAACAAACAAACTTGGTGAAAGACAAAGACTATGGCAGAAAGACTATGGCTTCATAGGAAGACACTTCTGGAAAATGCATTGCCCTAAAATATCAAAGTCACTTTCAATTTTCAACTCCAGAATACTGCAATTGAACTGAAAAGAACTGAAAACATTCTGGCTTCCAAAGTTACAAAATAAAAAATCATAAATGTGATTAAAAAATAAATGAGAAACAAATATAACCTAAATATGTTTGCTCATATCTAAGGCATGATTATTTTATTCATTATCATTCATTATTTCATTTTTCCTTTTTTTCAGAGACACAGTCTCACTCTTTCACACAGGGTGGAGTGCAGTGGGCACAATCATAGCTCACTGCAGCCTCAAATGCCTCAAACCGCTATAGCAGGAGGCAAATGCCTCCTGCCTCAGCCTCCCAAGTAGCTGGAACTACAGGTACATACCACTGCACCCAGCTAATTGATTATCATCTCAAAAACTAAAGTTTGCTTTCAAGATTTCAAATGCATGTATGCAAGTTTTCATATCCTGCCTCATTTCACAAAGTAATTGAAATAGACTACAAGAAATACAAATGTTTAAGTAGATTAAATATAGGTCAGGCACCGTGGCTCATGCCTGTAATCCCAAAGCTTTGGGAGGCCAAGGTAGGAGGAACACTTGAGGCTAGCAGTTTGAGACCAGCATGGGCAACATAGCAAAACACCACCTCCACAAATTTAACAATTAGCTGGGTATGGATACATGCCTTCAGTTTCAGCTACTCGGGAGGCTGAGGTGGAGAATTGCCTGAGCCCAGGAGTTCAAGGTTACAATAAGCTATAATCATACCACTGCACTCCAGCCGAGGCAACAGAGACCCTGTCTCTAAACAAATAAATAAATACAACCATAAATAGATTAAATATGAATTACTCAAAATTAGGACCAGGAAAAATGTAAATGCAATTAAAACACCACCACAATGAGGAAAACAGAACACAAATACGTAGGTGCTAAAAAATATATACAGCTGCTATGGGTAGGCTGTAACTACAGTTCTAAACTTTTCATTAACTAAAGCAAATGTGAAAGTATGTACAGTCATTTCATTCCTACTGTTCCTAAGAAATGCATACCCTGGTACATTTGAAAAAAGCAAAACTTTCCTGCTTTGTATGCAAAATAAATTTCTCCCTGTGAGCTATACGGAATATATTAGCTTCCAACACATGTTACCAGAAGGGTTTTATAAGCAGTGGTATAACATTACTGTGAGAGTCTGGGCTCTGCAGTCATACACCAAGCACTATTATCTTTTCCCTAGACAACTGCATAACGTTCTTCTGTGCTTCCACTCCTGCCACCTTGTGGCCTATTCTCCATACAGAGCAGTCCTTTAAGACGGAAATCAGATCATGCAACTCCCCTGGTCAAAAATCTCCAAGAAGTTTCCATTAAATTTTGAATAAAATCCATGGCCTACCTGGGGCCGTGTGATGTGCCCTGCCTCCCTTTCTACCCTCAAGTCCTGCTGCTCCCACAGGCTTACTGCACTCCAGCCATACTGGAGGCCACACTGGTCAGCAAGTAGATTTCCATCCTGAGGCCTCCACGCTTACTCTGCTCATACATTCTTCCTTTAGGTTCACATGTGGCTTCCTTCCTTCCTTCAAGGGTCTGCTCAAATGTTCTCTCCTACAGAGGTTTGCCCTGAACACCCAAGCTAAAACATAGACCTTCTTAGATCCTGCACAAGTAACCATAAGACCCTAAATGGAATTGCTAGACTGTGTTTTGAAGGAAAAAGAGAACGTCTTTCCCATCACACTCACTATACCAACAAGCTGCTATTCGCCTTCAACGTGGTGCTTCTTAAATATTGTTCATTTTCCCCATTGGAGGGCAAGTGCCCAAACCATTCACAGAAACGAAACTACAATGTTAAAAGTTAAAAGGAAATTTAACTTATTGAAATACAATGAACAAACTACTGTTATAGAAAACTTTTCTTAATTTTATCAGTGTATTTTATAGATATGCCTTATTTGCATATTTAAAAACCTACAGAAATACAAAAAATTACACCTGAATCTGATCAAGCTTCTATATCCAACTACCAATTTACTGGAAACTTAGGGAGCCATTGGAACATATTCAGCAAAATCCTAAATGTAATAATTCTGTAGGACAAATGACTCAGTTTCTTCAATAAACAAACTGAAAGGAAAAGAAAGATGGAAGGATGAGAGGCACAACTTGTAGATTAACAGAGACATGAAAAGCATATAAATCAATGTCAATGTATGAACCACATTTGAATACCAACTCAAACTGTTAAAAAAAAAAAATTGATAGGAAGCTGAGATGGGCGGATCATGAGGTCAGGAGATCGAGACCATCCTGTCCAACATGGTGAAACCCTGTCTCTACTAAAAATACAAAAATTAGCTGGGGGTGGTGGCCCGTGCCTGTAGTCCCAGCTACTTGGGAAGCTGAGGCAGGAGAATCGCTTGAACCCAGGAGGCGGAGGTTGCAGTAAGTCAAGATTGCGCCTCTGCACTCCAGCCTGGCAACAGAGTGAGACTCTATCTCAAAAAAAAAAAAAAAATTGACAATTGGGAAAACTGAAACAATGACTGGATATGTGAGGTGATTAAGGAATATTATTGTTAATTTGGAAGGGGTGTGGTAATATTCTGTAAGTTTGTTTATTGTCACTATAATAAAATTTTACATATTTTAGCCAAGTTGCATTTTTATCTTGTCCATTCTCTAACATATTTACTATCAGAAAAGAGCCCAAAGTTAAGAATTATGCAGGAGAAGGAATGGATTTAGACAAGAAACTGAGTTATAGGCCCATGAAGAATTTTACATTTAACCTAACCATAAATAAATATAAACCTCTTAGCCAAATTAGTAGTAGTAGGACTCACCTATTGGTAAAGCAAGGTAAAATATAGAATCTGTTAGGTCAAAAGATAGGCACTCTCTTTCATCTTTAAGGTACTTTACGCAGAAAGATTGATTCCTAAGTGTGCTAAGCCACAGCTATTTATAGTGACATTTAATGCATTTCTGATTATTTTCCTTCCACTTATATAAAATAGATAAGGCAGGATGTAAATCCTGAAGAACATAACAGTTACCACATCTTAAGAAATCTATCAAGCTTCAGTAGGGGAATATAAGGCAAAGAGGGAGGTGGGGGGCAAGAGCTGAAAAACTACCTGTTGGGTACTATGCTCAATACTGGGTGACGGGTTCAATCACACTCCAAACCTCAACATCATGTAATATACCTTTGTAACAGACTTACACATATACTAACTGAATCTAAAATAAAAGTTGAAAAAAAGGCCAAGCGAGTTGGCTCACACATGTCATCCCAGCACTCTGGGAGGCCATGGGGGGGGGTAGATCGCTTGAGGCTGGGAGTTCGAGACCAGCCTGGCCAACATGGTAAAACCCCATCTCTATTAAAGTACAAAAATTAGCAAGGTATGGTAGCACACGCCTATAATCCCAGCTACTCGGGAGGCTGGGGCACAAGAATCGCTTGAACCCAGGAGGCGGAGGTTGCAGTGAGCCAAGACCAGGCCACAGCACTTCAGCCTGGGCAAGACAGTGAAGCTCCGTCTCAAAAAGACAAATAAAAATAAAATAAAGTTTTTTTAAAAAAGTAATCTAAGTAAAACTGGGAGAAAAAGGTGCATTTGGAATAAACAAAAATCCATTAATATTTACTGAAAAATCATTCTATGCAAATGAATTTGAATACCTCTTATTAAAAAGAACACTATGGGCAAATTTTAAAAGCAATAGGAAACTAGACCTCAGAAAACAAAATATAAAAATTCATTATTATAATCCTTCCAAAATTAGTATAAGGATTCTTCAAAGTTCTGACCCTAAATATAGATAAAGAATTCATATACTTGATATATATTACCAATTAGCTCTTTAATTAGTCTAGCTGTAATCTACAACATTAGTAGGTGGTTCTATAGATAAAATTTAGAATTTTTAAATTTAGATTTAAACACTTTCAGAACTTTTAGAATTGTTTTTAGAACTAACCCATCCCTTATTTTTGTATAAGTAAAAACCAAAATCCAAAGAAACGATTTTAAATCAGAATTCAGATATTATTTATAATAGCATTAACCTTCTTTAAAATATAGCCTTCCAGTTCTAAGATTCCCCTTGATTCTAGAAGAAGACATGATTTTCTCTAAAATCTGGGTTAAAAAACACACAGATTTGTACATGCAAGAGAAACAGAACAAGAGCTTATTAGTATAAAAGAGATAGAACTATTTAAAGTTATTAATAAGCGGCCGGGCGCGGTGGCTCAAGCCTGTAATCCCAGCACTTTGGGAGGCCGAGACGGGCGGATCACGAGGCCAGGAGATCGAGAGACGATCCCGGCTAACACGGTGAAACCCCGTCTCTACTAAAAAATACAAAAAAAAAAACTAGCCGGGCGAGGTGGCGGGCGCCTGTAGTCCCAGCTACTCGGGAGGCTGAGGCAGGAGAACGGCGTAAACCCGGGAGGCGGAGCTTGCAGTGAGCTGAGATCCGGCCACTGCACTCCAGCCTGGGTGACAGAGCAAGACTCCGTCTCAAAAAAAATAAATAAATAAATAAATAAAGTTATTAATAAGCAAAGATGGTATAATTTTTAAATGCCCTCCCTTTATAGTTAATATCCTAATCTATAACACAAATCACTTAATACTTAATATTAAGGTAGTATCATTCTCATTTAAATATTCCTAAACTCTAAATGAAACTGCCAATAAACTTAGACAATTACAATAAAAGAAATAAGCAGCACAGTCAAGAACTGATATAATGGGCAATTTCAAAGTGAATGACTTACGGAGGAACTGGGAACAGGTTTTGTTCTTTTATTACAAATGAACGGAAAAGAGATGAAATCTGGCTAGGTGCAGGGGCTCATGCCTGTAATCCCAGCACTTTGGGAGGCCAAGGTCACTTTGTGGATCACTTGAGGTCAGGAGTTCAGGACCAGCCTCACCAACATGGTGAAACCCCCTCTCTACTAAAAATACAAAAATTAGCCAAGCATCGTGGCGCACACCTATAATCCCAACTACTTGGGAGGTTGAGGCAGGAGAATCGCTTTAACCTGGGAGGCAGAGGTTGCAGTGAGCCGAGATCATGCCACTGTACTCCAGCCTGAGAAACAGAGCAAGACTCTGTCTCAAAAAATAAAAATTAAAAAAAAAAAAAAGATGAAATCAGAAAATAGTGTTAAAAAATCAATTATGAAATGGAAAGTTCAGACAAGAGGGACTGGGCCAGATAATACAAAGCAAGTAAGAACCCAGTATGAAGCTAATCAAGAAAATATTATTTTTAAAAGTGTTAAGAATTTTTGGCAGTATAGCACGTAATAACCAACTATAAACTTACCCAAGAAGATACTATAAAAAAGCTCTAAGATTTCACCATCTCAGGTATAATAACTGAAGAGACTTTTCCTAACTCATGTACTGCCTCTCGGTTTTTACCTGAATTCTCACCTACTTAAAATTCTTACCTGAAATTCAGCTGTTTTAGGATTACTTATGTGGACTGCCTTTGTTGCAGAGATATCCAAACCAAGTTTATCAGCTATATCTTCTTGGGAGCACTGTGAAGTACATACAAAACAGATTAATATGGAAAAGCAATTACTTAAGTTTAAAATAAAAAGTAATGCTGTAAGTCAACTTCTAAGAACAATGTATATTCTCTACATATATCAGCAAGTTAAGAATAGGCCTGGTGTCAGCTGGAGTAAATGTAATAAAAAAAAAATAAACAAATAAAAAAGAATAAGCTAAGAATAAATACACATCAATCTCAGGCCCACAGCAGATGGAATTTAACATTAATACTTCTTTCACAATGAGTCCTAGGCATCATACAGAGCTAAAGTAAATTTTTCACGTGGAGATGGTATAAACGGTACTCAGGCCCTTCCTAAGCTAGTTTCCCATTTATCTTTCCAATCTAATCTCCCATGATGCCCTAGCCATTCCCTAAACCTTATGTTTCCCTACCTTACCTGAAATGCCATCCCAGCCCCACTTGCTGCTATTCCCTAAGGCAGACTTAAATGACCTCTCTTCCGTAATAATATTCCTAATGACTCTAGTCAGAAACTTTCCCTCCCTCCTTGGTATTTCATGACTTTCCATTTTGACTACCATTGTAACCCTTGCTAAATCCACACTGACTTGTGGCAGAACAGTAGGACTGAGAACAGAATTCAAGTGACTGGAACTCTGCCCAGTGCTCTTTTATTGTATCACTTAACTTCTGTGCACATGCCTGAAACTCTTACAACAAATAAACTGCTGAGTACCCAGTGATCAAAGAGAAAGATGCTTGCCACCCTCAGAAACCAGCATTGTAGGCAGAAGTTATGAAATTAAAAACTCACTGACGATTAGATACATCAAGTCTAATAATAAATGATATAATGAGATAATGCAAGTATGGTGCCTGGCACAGAGTAAGCGCTCAAAAAATATCAACAATGATGATAACTGACAAATCATTACCAAGGATAAATTATTATCATGTATATTAATGCTAGCTTTTTGAAAGAGCATTTAAAACGTAACACAAAAACCGACGTACCATCAGATTATTGTACTATTTTCCAATGTTAGGCAATATTGTTCATTATACTGTTCTACAACTAGTTTTCAAAGGCTAGTTGGCATGCATTTCACTTATTAAAACAAAATGGCACACACCAACTGAAATGGTAAGAATTCATTTCATGTCAATGTCAGTTCTAGTGATTCTTGCCATGCTTTCTCGAGAAAGATCCTGAAGCCACATCCAGGCATAGCAGAAAACAGCTCCCTGATCTGCTATGGCTGCTGAGGTGGAGAATGGTGGCAGGCACACTGGGGATAAGCGTTTTCCCCACAGCATAAAGAAGTTTTATACCAACATTTAGGTATAATTTGATTGATTAATTAGGAAATGCAATTGACATGAAGCAATCTACTCTCAAATGAAACTAGTTCTCTCTGTGTAAAAGAAAAAAACACTCCAAAGACACATGGCAATGCAGCTGTGTATCTGAGTGACCTTGTATTTTATCACGGCAATGGATAATAAGGGATAGTGACAAGAGGCAATTTAAATTAAGCTACCCTGAAGTGGCAGTAGTTAGTACACAGTAAGAAACTTTTTTTTTTGTTTGAGACAGTCTCACTCTGTTGCCCACACTGGAGTTCAGTGGCGCAATCTCGGTTCGCTGCAACCTCCATCTCCCAGGCAGATTCAAGCGATTCTCCTGCCTCAGTCTCCCGAGTAGCCGGGATTACAGGTGTGCACCACCACACCCGACTAATTTTTGTATTTTTAGTAGAGACGGGGTTTTGCCAAGTTGGCCAGGCTGGTCTCGAACTCGTAGCCTCAAGTGATCCACCCGACTAGGCCTCCCAAAGTGCACTGGATTACATGCCTGCCAGGAACTTTTTTAATGTTAATATTTATGTGTTTATTTTAATGTGTTAGAAAAATACAACAAGTAAATGAACCTCATAATTTTTACAGATATTATTCCTATAACAAGGCTGAAGTACATAAGTCAACTTAAAAGTGAGCCAATTTAAAAGAATATAACTACTATGCAGATATAGCAAAAATCATTATGATGAAATGTGAATTATTTACACTTGGAAAGTCAGGGACTAGGTTTCAGGAAAAAAAAATGGCTGTTACTCTTGTGCAAAACTGGATTTAACAACATAGACCGTCTTTGCTCAGTGATGCTTAGGCTTGCCTATAAACATCTTCGTAGACATCTTTAATGTTAAAATTCCTACAGGAAAATTTAGTACAAATCTGAAACTCTCTAGGAGCTCACCCCTTTCTCTTCCCCTCAGTGATAAACAATGAATATATTAAAGTGACTTTGGACAGCTGAACAGACTGTTTCTAACGTCCCTGGTGTGACAGTTCAGTCACAGGCCTTGGATGCAGACAGGCATGGGCGGGAATCCCTGATCCACAGCCACGGCGCAGGACAAGTTACTTAAATCAACTGCTGTGAAAGACAGGAACGCCCGCTTCACAGGCGTATACTGAGAAGAAACAGAATCGTGTACACAAAGCCCTTGGCACAGGGTGAACATTCCCTGCAGAGAAGCCACTCGTCAAGACTCAGCCTCTGTGCTCCTCTAAAGACACATGAGGCTCCAAGGTTACAAAATTAAACTGCACCACTAATATAAAAGGGCAGGGAAAAATGCATACCCAAGTTTTAACAGCAGTTGTTTCTGGGGAGGAAAAGAGGATTCGAAGTGAGGAAGAGAACTGTTATGGTTTACTCTAATGGTTAAAGTATGAGTCCTTTAAAATAAGATGTATTCCTGGCCGGGCGCGGTGGCTCAAGCCTGTAATCCCAGCACTTTGGGAGGCCGAGACGGGCGGATCACGAGGTCAGGAGATCGAGACCAGCCTGGCTAACCCGGTGAAACCCCGCCTCTACTAAAAAAAAAAAAAACAAAAAACTAGCCGGGCGAGGTGGCGGGCGCCTGTAGTCCCAGCTACTCGGGAGGCTGAGGCAGGAGAATGGCGTAAACCCGGGAGGCGGAGCTTGCAGTGAGCTGAGATCCGGCCACTGCACTCCAGCCTGGGCGACAGAGCAAGACTCCGTCTCAAAAAAAAAAAAAAAAAAATAAGATGTATTCCTATGACACTCATATGTTTTAAAAAATAAAAATATATTTCTCAATGTTATTTTTGGTATTTCATTTTACATGAAATCGTGGATGCTCACAACTACAAATATGTGTATATATATGTACACAGATGAATGACATGGCATTGCAGACCTAGCGTACATGGTATGAGACCATGGAAAAGCACTGTTCTAGGAGGCCAAAGGTCAGGACTCTGCTCATGATATAATGAGATCATGCAAGCATAGTGGCCAGGAACATAGCAGTTCTCCTGCTGTCCGTGTAAAATCTGCTACATACTTATCCTCTCTCAGCCTCAGGCTTCCTCATTGGTGCAGTGCCTGACATATAATAAATGCTCAACAAATGTTGAATGAATGACTGCTGAATCAGAAAAATCAAAGTATTAAGCAAACTACAAGTAGGGTCCCTTAAATACCATAAAAGATTGAGAATTTCAGGGCTAGGGCTGAGTTGCAGAGGAGAAAAAGAAGTAGCTTCCTTTCCCCTCATAGATTAAACATACTTGAATGCTGAAGAACTACATTGTAGGCACCGCAGAAATGCTCAGCAAGAGGGAAAAATGGAACTACAAATTGCATACACATTTTATTCTTTCATATGGTCAATCTGGTGGGGGAGGGAGATATCCTTCTGATTTTGTAATAAAAGTCATTTCCTGATTTAGGCCTTTTATGTCAGCTTTTCAACTCAAAGCAAATGTTTGTGAACATGTTCAAAGACAAAGAAATTAATTTAATGTGGAACAGTCCACAAGCCTTTACCCAGGGCGGCATCTAGTGGGCACAGCCATAACCAAATTAAGACCAAATATTCTAACTTAATAAATTTGGTTATGAAATACATTGTGAACTCTCAACACTCACATCAAACTATAAAATACTTTGTCATCTGTCATTTAAGGTATGTTTTTCTAGGCCTTCATTTTCTTTTGGGGCTGTAAAAAGAAAAGCTTCAACATTACTTTTCCAGGAATTGTATACTCTCAAGTAACAAAGGTTTTCTTTCAGAATCTGGAAGTTCTAACAGTCTAGATTTTATAAATTCTTATGAAGAATCATAGAATAAATAATTCGGAGAGTCTAAGTGAACAACAAGCTGGGCAGAAAAAGCACGTAAGACATACCAGGGCAAAGGTAAGCACTTCAGTGAAGCCAGCGGCTGCCATGTCATATCTGAGAAGTTCAGTGAGCTTATTAAGAGGAAACTGAAAAAAAAAGTACCCATTTGATTTCACCTCAATATTTCTTGTTTTTTAAAAGGGAGATTTATACAGAACATGTCATTAAATAATTTTTTTAATAAAAATGTTTAAAAGATTAAATACCTTTTCACCCTTATGTACTGCTAATGCCACCATTTCCCTACCAATATTACCTCCTCCCTCCCCACCGTTCTGCCCCCCCTCTGCTTTTACACAGATGTACAAACCACCCCCACTTCCATCTCTCCCACACACAGCTTCTGCCTTCAGGCCCAAGTTGAGAAAATGAACCTCTGAGAGATTCAACAAGGGCTCCAAACTCGAAACCTGTCTTTCTTCAAAGAACTAGTCATCACAGGTTTTCAACTTACTCTAATCATTTGGGCATCTGTTTTGTATCCTCTCCATAGCAAATGCCTCTCATTGCAGAGCATGTCCAAATACTGCTTGATTCCTACGTTCTGTTTTCTCGAAGCCTTCCTGGCTTTCAATAATCAGTTTCTAACAATAAAGAGTGTTTATTTAAGGGTGCAATCTTACTTGATTAGCTATGGTGTAAGTTTTCGGGAGAGTCATCTGAATGTTGTTATATCCATAAGCAATAGCTGCATCTTCTACAATATCACATGCATGGATAATGTCAGCTCTGGTTGGAGGGATTTCAATCTCAATCTGATTCCCGTCACCTATGACTTCTGATTTTAAATACATCCTTGTCAGAAGTTTGGCAAGATTTTCTGGAGTTTCTCTGAAAAAGGAATGAACAAACCATAAACTTCATTGGATTATTTTTTAATGTTTGCATTGTGTTTCAACATACGCTACTAGCTGAAATAGTAATCTTTCTTTTTGAGTTCTATCAGAAACCAGACATGTTAACTGATGTTTTATCATTCCGTAACCAACTCTGAAGGATCGCAAAAAAAAATTAGTCATATGTGTACTTTTGTTCTTGAATTAAGTGAAGTTTTCAGAGCATACCTGATTCCAACTTTTTTGTTAATGAGGTCAGCTCTCACCATCTCCTTTCGGTAAGCTAATTCCTTAAAGAGAAAGAGTTTAAAAAGTAAATCATTTCCCATCAGATACAGCTTTAGACTCTTTTCCATTAAATTAGTCATTATTGCAGTTCGATTACGTTCCCAAGAAATTGTCATTAGAGCCACATTAGATTGAGAATAAACTTGATGTTTCAAAAACAGTATTATGAGGTATAAATTTGTTACATTAGATTCATACGTGAACATCCTACTTGCTAGACAGTTTGCACTGCCTGGAAATAATATAAAATGCCAAACATTTTTCCCTTTCAGATAGTCAATCCCCATTCCCCACGGTAAAACACTGCTGTGCTACATCATTCCAAAGATGTTTATGAACCCTGCTAAAGATTTTCAGTCTTGTCCTATGCAAGCAGATGGATATGAGCAAGAAAGAGTAATTCCAATGTCACAATGTTCATCATACTAAGTCTAAGAGCATGATGAAGATATTCTTTTCTTACAATTTCCAGGTGGGGAAATGCAATGATGTTATGGCTACCTATCTGCTCCAGAAGACAACAGGGGTAGGAGTATCTAATGAATTTGGTACTCAGTCTTCTTCAGACAGCATGTAACTCCACCATATTAGTGACGTGAGAACACACACACATAAAAACCCAGGCTTTTCAACACCTTTGGAAATGTCCTTATGAATATTTCTTATCACTCAATTACTCTCAAAAGTATAACATGTCACTAGCAAAAAGGTCATAAATTTAAAGACCTGTTTTGATTCAAGTAAGGGCAATGGTCCAGAACCTTGCTACACAAACTGCAGTCCTCAGAGTAGACCTAAGAGCACCTCAGAGCACCAGCATCACCTAAGTGCTCATGAGAAAGGCTGACTGCAGGTCTTGATAGCTAGTGGCAGTGGCACCAGAGCTACTGAAGCCCAATCTGCACGTTTTCAAAATCCCCAGGTGATGAGAAAGCACTGCAGGGTTTGGGAGGCACAAGGTGAAGATTACAAAGTAGTAAGTCACTTTTCTCAATAGTTACTATGAACTAAATAGTTATTATGAGATGAACAATACAAGATACACTTCTAAGATAATCTTACTTAATCCTCACAACAAATGCTATTAGTATTCTCATTTGACAGGTAAGGAATTTGAATTTTAGGTGAATAACTAGTTCCAGGTCATAATAGTAAACTGCCAAGTCCAAGTGTTGCTATATGCCCAGTGCTTAGAAAATGATTATCATATAATAAGCATTTGGTATATATATTTGATGAGTGAATGCATGCATATAAGTAGTAACAAATGGCTGGGCATGGTGGCTCATGCCTGTAATCTCAGCACTTTGGGAGGTCGAGGCAGGTGGATCACCTGAGGTCAGGAGTTCGAGACCAGCCTGGCCAACATAGTAAAACCCCATCTCTACTAAAAATACAAAAACTAGCCGGGCGTGGTGGCACGAGCCTGTAATCCCAGCTACTCGGGAGGCTGAGGCAGGAGAATCGCTTGAACCCAGGAGGTGGAGGTTGCAGTGAGCTGAGACGGCGCCACTGCACCCCAGCCTGGGTAACAGAGCGAGACTCCATCTCAAACAAACAAAAAAAAGTAACTAATGAACAAATTAATGAATTAATAAACAAATTAAGACAACCCAATTCCAAAGCACACACCATTAGTCTGTCTGACTACTGACAACTTATCTCCTCTAGATCTCTTACTTTAAAACTTTATACTTTTTGCTGGGCGTGGTGGCTCACACCTGTAATCCCAGCACTTTGGGAGGCCACGGCGGGCGGATCACAAGATCAGGAGATCGAGACTATCCTGGCTAACACAGTGAAACCCCGTCTCTACTAAAAATACAAAAAATTAGCCGGGCGTGGTGGCGGGCGCCTGTAGTCCCAGCTACTCAGGAGGCTGAGGCAGGAGAATGGCGTGAACCTGGGGGACAGAGCTTGCAGTGAGCCGAGATCGCGCCACTGCACTCCAGCCTGGGCAACAGAGCAAGACTCCGTCTCAAAAAAAAAAAAAAATTAAAAAAAAAAAAAAAAAAACACTTTATACTTTTCTATGAAATTACAAAACACAAGAAAAAAAACTTTCAAAGAGTTTAAGAAAAGATGCTATTTCATGTGAGAGAGAATCAGTTTCCCCCAGAGGATCCTTCCCTAAGAAAAGCTGTTCTAATTTAAGTTTAGGAGGAAATAAATGAACAAATGCCAAAACACTCATGTAGTACTCCTTTTCAGAAAGCCCATCATTTCAAATTTATGAAAGATCTCTATATTACAAATATATGACTTTAAGGGATTATCCATATGAGGAGAAGAGTGAACCAAATATTAAAATATATTTCTCATTTTCTTCCCAAAAATATACAATCACTTTTATTAACACTTGACAAATCTTCATATTAAAAAGAGGTCGGGCATGGTGGCTCACATCTGTAATCCCAGCACTTTGGGAGGCCGAGGCAGGCGGATCACAAGGTCAGGAGATCGAGACCATCCTGGCTAACACGGTGAAACCCCGTCTCAACTAAAAATACAAAAAAAAATTAGCTGGGTGTGGTGACGGGCACCTGTAGTCCCAGCTACTCGGGAGGCTGAGGCAGGAGAATGGCATGACCCTGGGAGGCGGAGCTTGCAGTGAGCCGAGTCGCGCCACTGCACTCCAGCCTGGGTGACAGAGCGAGACTCCTCAAACAAAAAAAAGAAGAAAAAGAAACTCTCTGACATAATTTTAAAACCATCTAAAAAGCTATCTCCAGCTAATCCCAATTGCTACTGTCGTAAACTGTAAAAATGGCCACAAATTTCCCCCCTCTCTGTATCCATGGCCTTGCAATGTGATACTGCCAATCTTCCAATCAGGAGATGGCATCTATTTCTCCACCCATCAAATCTAGCCACATGACTGGCTTTGGCCAACAGAATAATATTTGAAAAACACCTGGGCACTGGGCATGCTCTCTTGCTGCTAGGAACCCTGCAACCCCAAGTAAAAAAGCCCAAGCTAGCCTGCTGTATGATGAGGGACACGGGAGTTGTTGACCCCACTGCCAAGAAGCAGACATGAGTGAGGCCATCCCAGATCATCCAGTTGCTAGCCAACCAGTCAACTGACTACATATGGGTAAGCCCTGCAGAGATTAGCCAAACTTGCTCAGACCAGGAAAACCACTGTAGTGACCAAGAGAATCATGAGATAAATAAATGGTTGTTGTTTTAAGCCACTAAGTCTTGGGGGTAGTTTGTTAAATAACAAAAGCTAACTTATAATAGATACTTAAATCCGAATCAACTTTTAAAAATATTGCCTATATGATTTCAGTTATGCTTCATACAGTTATATGTGTATTTTGAAGTATAATTAATGCTTAGAATAAAATATGATGTTAAATGTTAATGTCTTCTGGAATGGGGAGGTTTTGATCTTAGCAGGTTTCATCTACTGTAAAAGCTATTTAAATAGCAGAAACCATTTCAGGCTGTGATTTACTTCATAAATGACAAGGGAATAGTGAAAGATTCAAAGGGGAAGAAAAAGCTCATCAAAGAATGCTCTCATTGTATGAGAACCACAAAGTGACTGTGATACTGTTATGTTTTAGAACAGTTATCTTTATGTCAAGTCACTTGGGTGAGGGGGACAAAACCCCCCAGAAATAATACTAGTTTAGATTTTTTACCAAGATCTTATGTCTTGGCAATAACTGTGTGCTTACTACTAAATAAGTCTTAATAATACATTTGAAATTATTTATTAGTTACAGTGATGGCCTTCAGCAACTGTTTTTTTTTTTTTTTGTTTCGTTTTTTTTTTTTTTTTTTTTTGAGACGGAGTCTCGCTCTGTCACCCAGGCTGGAGTGCAGTGGCCGGATCTTAGCTCACTGCAAGCTCCGCCTCCCGGGTTCACACCATTCTCCAGCCTCAGCCTCCCGAGTAGCTGGGACTACAGGCGCCTGCCACTTCGCCCGGCTAGTTTTTTGTATTTTTTAGTAGAGACAGGGTTTCACCGTGTTAGCCAGGATGGTCTCGATCTCCTGACCTCGTGATCCGCCGGTCTCGGCCTCCCAAAGTGCTGGGATTACAGGCTTGAGCCACCGCGCCCGGCCAGCAACTGTTAATTCAAGTGTGAACAGACTACGTTCGGAGGGTTGAGTAATCTTAAAAGGAGTGAGACTATAAATTACTTATTTAATAAGTTCTATTGTTCTACAGCACTGTAGGATGCTATAATATAATTAACAAAAGTTTATTGTATATTTTCAAATATAGAGGAGCAGACTATGAATGTTCCCAACACAACAAAACAGTAAATGTCTGATATGATGGCTATACCAACTACCATGATTTGATCATTACATATTATATACATGTATTGAAACATCACACTGTACCCCATAAATATGTACAATTATTATGTGCCAATTAAAAAAACATGTTTTTAAAAAACTACTCAGTTAATTAGTTAATAGGAGAATAAATCAGAGGAATTATGACCACACAATGTTGTTGTATAATGTTGTGTGTTGACAACTGCAGTCAAACTGTCTGAATTTAGATTCTAGCTCTACCACTTAAAAATGATAAGCAAGGTATTTAACATCTCAAGGTCTCAGGGACTCCATCTGGAAAAAGCATAATAATAGCACCTATCCTCACAGGATGATTGTGAGGACTAAATCCATGTAATGCGCACAGTATAGCAGCTGGCACACGGGTGGGTAGGTAGGGGACGGATAGACAGACAGAACATGAGTGGTCTATAGCCATTATTATTAGTATTGTTGTCATAATCATGAAGTCATTTCTTAAGCACTTACTGGAAAGGTATATGATTTTCCATTAGGAAAAACCACCTCAGCAGCTTCGACCCTGAAAACAAAAGTCAGAAATAAAATACTTAAGAAAAAAATGTGCCATAAATTACAGACATGTGTATGGTTATCAAATCTTTCATTTGGGCTACAACTACAGCCTCAACATATTCCATCCATCGCATTCCAGCACTGTTTGGATTGATCTTGCTATATACAATATTACTCTACCGTTTCATCTCCTAGGGCTCCAATGTCCTTTTCAGGCACCACCTCCTTGAAAGGTTTATTTCCCAGTACTGCAAAGCATGCATCCTACGGGGACTCCTTGCCAATATTGACACACACATTCTAGGCTTTACCAGGGCAGTGTGTTACACAATAAAACTGACAGAATCAATGAAATGAAAATCAATTGAAAAAAAACCTGATACTGCCCATATAATTTCAATCACGCTTTCTACAGTTATATATTTGTTTTCAATTCTATTAATATTCTAGAATAAATTACGATGCTAGTACTAAGGATCATATAGATTTGTTAAATAGCTTTTTAAACTAAAAATATGCTTTGGAAAAAATACAGTAATCTTACCGATATGGGATACATGCTTTGCTCTTACATATGCCTCTCTACCTCTAGCTGTTCTTTTGCTGTTCTTCCAACTATATATTCTCAAATCCAGTGATCCCCAAACACAGCTTAAATTTCGTTGCCTCCATGAAGCCTTCTCAGATTGTATCAGCTGGCAGTAACTTGCCCTTACAAACTGCCAGAATATCACCGAAACTTTTTAAAGTACTTAACGCTTATGACTTTATCCAATATTTATGCATATGTCTTATCTCCCTGAACAGATTATATGTTCTAGTTACAGGAACCACATTTTTAATCTTTACATTTATTTGTTTATTCATTCATTTTTTTTTAAGACAGTGTCTCGTTCTATGATCCAGTCTTGAGTGCAGTGGCACAAACATAGCTCACAGCAGCCTTGACCTCCCAGAATCAAGCAATCCTGCTGTCTCGGTCTCCCCAATAGCTGGAACCACAGGAGCAAGCCACCAAACTCAAGCAATTTTTTAATTTTTTGTAGATATGGTGTCTTCCTATGTTGCCCAGACTGGTCTTGAACTCTGGGGCTCAAGCAGTCCTCCCACCTCAGCCTCCCAAAGTGCTGGGATTATAGGTGTGAGCCACCGCACCTGGCCTATCTTTATATTTAGCACAAAGCCTTGCCTTCAGAACAATGGGCCATCAATAAAGGTGCTGGATGAACTTACGTAAATTGATTCTCACAGTATTCACTGAACATGGTGACAATAATATCAAGAACTATTTTTGCCTGCAAAGAAAAGAAAAGCAAGTATTATAGTAATCTATAAATATATTCTCTTCACTCAGATGGAAATGAATAAATATTTAATATAATTGTGTCCCCAAACATCTAACGGACCTTTACATATACATTTTAAGAAAGGAAGTGGAATAAAAGCAAGAGTAGGCCTCGCCTTATCTTCAGGTGTTCTGCGTTTATGCAGTTCTCTGACAGTTATAATCCATGACTGAGACAAATCGTTTCGTTCCCCCACTACCCCCAACCTCAGGTTCACTGGGCTTCAACAGAGACAAATGGCTAACTACGGGAATAAATCTTAACAATCTCCTAAGTCTCTGAAGCCAGACTGCTTGAATCCTGGCTAGCACTTACTAGCAGTATGACATTGGGCAAGCCACTTTTCTAACCTGTTAAGGAGATAATGAAAGTTCCTATCTTGTCTGGTTCTTATGAAGATTAAATACATTGGCATGTAGTAAAGACCATATAGATTTGTTAAATATCTATCTATTTCAAAAAAAATTCTTAGAAAAAAAATACAGTGACCTTATTGGAATATATGCTTTACTCTTATATATATATTTCACTCCTATATATACAGGCTTCGGCAAAGACATTCAAGGTCTGTAAATGCATGAATTCAACTTTTTTAAAAAATTAATATTAAAGCTGTATTACCCTGACAGTATTTCTGAAGGCAAGGAGTACATAAAAGTTATAAATGAAATACCTTACAATGGTCTCTAATCCTATAAGATGTACATGAATACCATTTATTTGCCCTATTTCTATACTCCAGCCTTCTCCTGCCATTTGAGGTTACCTTTCTTAAATTCTTTAACTGCCACCTCATTTAACATATGTAAAGAAGTCGTATGTCATAGAAAAGCTTTCATAGCAATCCAATCCAATAGATGAACTGACCAAAAGTGGGTAAAGAATTATAGTCTAGATAATTCTGTGTGCATAAACCATTTATCAATTTACTAAACAAAGCTTCTTCAACCCAGTTCATTTTTCTTTTTTCTTTTTTTTTTTTTTTGGCTTTTACCAAGTACACAAAGGTACCAAATTACTCCACATACAAATTAAGTCAACTAGATAAACAATTTATATGGATCTCCCTACAGTACTCATTCCATGTTGTGTTTTATAGTTATGTACATGACTAACTCTCCCAGCAGGAGTTCTTTCATGTGAAGAAACATGTAACTCATTATTAAATTCCTGGCACTGGAAATATATTCGGTGTTCACTAAACATCTGTCGAATTAATGAAAGCACCATAACCAAAGTGTAGAATATCTCTATCTTTTTAATTGTCTAAATTTCTAAAATATGTTCCCACCTACAAAATGCACATATTTTAAATTTTAGCCATTTAGTCTTGATCCGGAAATAAAATCTATCCCATCTGATCATACAAAAATTGAGTAAAAGTTTTATTTACCTTAGTAAAGTCAGTTCCCGTGCATTCAATAAAAATATTTCTAGTATTTACTGTTATTCTGGAATGATCCCCTGCAATGAACACAAAACAATAACAACAGAGTAACTAGTTTTAGAAATAGAAGTGCACTATTAAGCTCAACAAAACAGAAACTACATTTTAAATGTAAAACATATTAAAAACTAACACCTTGGCCAGGGACGGTGGCTCACACCTGTAATCCCAGCACTTTGGGAGGCCGAGTTGGGCAGATCACCTGAGGTTAGGAGTTCGAGACCAGCATGACCAACACAGAGAAACCCCTTCTCTACTAAAAATACAAAATTAGCCAGGCATGGTGGCACATGCCTGTAATCCCAGCTACTTGGGAGGCTGAGGCAGGAGAATCACTTGAACCCAGGAGGCAGAGGTAGCGATGAGCTGAGATGGTGCAATGGCACGACATGGTGCAATGGCATTCCAGCCTGGGCAACAAGAGCAAATCTCTGTCTCAAAAAAACAAAAAACAACAACAAAAAAAAAACTAACACCTTAAGAACAAAGGGAAAAAAAATTTTTATTTAAAGCTCCCACTGCAAGTTGAAGAGTAAAAATAAAATAATTAACAGGCCTTTACTGAATGCATACAATGTGTCAGGTGCTATGTCAAGCACTTAACACAGGTTGTCTCCTCTAATCTTTACCACAACCCCATGATGTAATTGCTGGCAAGAAACTAAGTTTAGAGAGATTAAATTATTTGACCATGATCACGAGCAGCAAGGCCAGGATTTGGGTCTAGATCTGGTTAACTCTGGGGCCCATGTTCTTAACTGCTGTAACTGCTAGGGTCCAAGATCTCGAGAAGAAGCTGCTTCTTCTCATAGCAAATCAGCTAAGCCTCCTTCTTACCTCCAGAAAGGCAAACACCTATGTCTCAGACATCATTAAATTTTGTAAATACATTCAAACTGTCTCATAAAAATAACCTTCAGAAAGGAATTAAGAGGGCAAAATTTAAATTAAAAGCTTTCGTTTAACTATATAACTAGGCAAGGCTAGGCATGGCAGCTCACATCTATAATCCCAGGGCTTTGGGAGGCCAAGGTGGGAGAATCGCTTCAGCCCAGGAGTTTAAGGTTGCACTGAGCCATGACTGCACCACTGCACTCCAGCCTGAGTGACAGAGCAAGAGCCTGTCTCAAAATTAAAAAAAAACACACAAAAGAAAAAAAACTACAGACATGACAGAGTTTGACTTTGAGTTTAACCAAGTGAATTACCTGCTAAAACCAAAACATCAATAACCTTGGGAGAAATATAACAGAACCCAAAGCCTAGCATCAGAAAATATTTATAAGTGTATGAACATATTATAAATTACATAAGAATCACCAGTAAAATGTTGTTGAATAAATGAATGAAAAGAATGATTAGAATCTACAAAAGACCTGAGATACTCAGATTATGAGTTATTTGAATTTGATTTAGCCAAGTCTATTGAGAATTCTAGAGAAATGTTGAAGATTAAAAAGAAACAGCAAAGATCTGTGATGCTTATAAAATAACTCACCATTGATGATGGGAGGCATTGAAAGGACGACACCATTGCTATCATAGATAACTGGATACAGGGGTTTGTTTTCAATGATATGTAAATAATGTTTAAGGTGATTATCAGTCTGAAAACAAATTAAGTCAAATAAAATTAGTTTGTTTTTTTTTATTTCTATCACTATAGTTTACATACTGACCTAATATTAAAAAAGAAAGGAATGCCAGGCATGGTGGCTCATGCCTGTAATCCCAGCACTTTGGGAGTCTGAGGCGGCTGGATCACCTGAGGTCAGGAGTTCAAGACCAGCCTGACCAACATGGAGAAACTCCATCTCTGCTAAAAATACAAAATTAGCTGGGCATGGTGGCACATGTCTGTAATCCCAGCTACTCGGAAGGCTGAGGCAGGAGAATCACCTGAACCCAGGAGGTGGAGGTTGTGGTGAGCTGAGATTGCGCCATTGCACTCCACCCTGGGCAACAAGAGCGAGACTCCATCTTAAAAAAAAAATAAAATAAAATAAAATAAAAAATAAAGGAGGGGAAAAGTCAGAAAAACATTAAAACAGACCCAAATTAAAGAAAGTTCTAAATTTATAAGATTTTCTAATATAAATTAATATTCCAATATTCAATGCACATAATTGAGTCATTTCTCGAGAATGAAAACAGATTTGCACTGGTATGCCTGAATCATTTCAAAGGAAACATAAACCATGACAAAACTATTTAGATAAATCGGAAGAAGTCACTTGCAAATCAGGGCAAGGATGACACTGCTTTTTCTAAATGACAACTATTTTTTCTACTTGTTAAATACAATCCAAAGTGACTACTGAATTCATTTTCGCTGCTGGACTTCTAAATAATGGGAGATAGACAGCTTGTAACAGTATTTCCCACAAAAAACACTAGCTAAGTCTTGCTGTTCTTTAGACTTGCATGAGTTTAAACTGCAGATTACAATGTGGTACGGTCTACTTCAGTGGTTCTCAATCCTAGCAGTACACTGAAATCATATCAGAGGTTAAAAATGTAACAATAAATAAAATAAAACTATGTTCAGGTCCCACTCTAGATCAGATGAATCACTATCTCTAGGTTGGAGCCCAGACACTGCAATTTTTTAAAAGTATTCATTACATTTCCCTAGTTGCAAGGCTTGACTTTGATGGAATTTCATGATTTTTGCAAAGCTGCTGCATAATCAAAAAGAATATTTACCTTGTATATGTTCATCAGTTCACAGGCTGTATACTCCTTGGTCTTATTTAGAGGCTTGAACTTAATATCTGAAGGACGCTTTGCAGTATAAGTAAATGGGCCTGACAAAGTGTCCAAATCATGGGTGCCAATAGCAACCAATGCTCTTTTCCTAATTGTGGAGAGGGTGAGGGAGAAGGAGGGAGGAAAGGAAAGGAGAATGAGACAGATTTGAATATTCTAAAGCACATAAACATAGACTACATATTTTTTTAAATTATTTCAGATACTTCCCTGAAACAGCATATTGCTACTACATGGCATCATTAGTGGCATATAATGAACAAATTCTCACAACCATTAAGAGTACTGAGAAATCACAAAACTACACGAAACACATGATTTCAGGAGCTGAAGAAAATTCCTTGCCATTATGTTTTCCCAAATGCTGTTTCTAAGATATCTTCAAAGTTAGCATTTCCTTTACCTCTTTTAACCTATTTCTTCTTGATATACTCAAGTAAACATGTTTTAATAAATCAGAATGAACTACCAAATTGTGGGGTTTTTGGCTTTTCTATGTTTTACTAAATTTTATCACATAGCTGCATTACTTTAGTTGTGGAAAAAATTTAATTTTAAGAGCTCTGAATTACAGTTCAAGTTTACTTTAATGTATAAGGAAAGTTCCAGAGGTATTCATTTCACTTGTTCTACAGTTTATCCACAAAGGATTTAAGGTAATTTTAGGAAATTACAGCAAGCTACAAAATAGGAGAGAAAGAAATAGAAGTAGGGATGTAAAACTGAGCCAGGAAATGTTAATTCTGAATTAGAATCTAAAGGCCTAAGTCTTACCAGGAAAGGTCACAAGTTTGGCTTTCTAACAGTCAATTTGAAAAGAGGAACTTGGTCAAAATTTGTGTTCTTAACATACTTTAGTTTAAAAAGTATGTGCACTAAAATTAGTTTAAAATGCTTAATATTAAATTTTAGTCAACTTCCAGGACTGCAGGACTGGTGAACTAGAACTTTAATAAACAGGGTTGAAAAGAAATGTTAACAGGCAATAAGGGAGTGTTACTTTACTCAATTACTCATATGCTTACAGAAGATAATAAACCCAGAACTATCACAGGATAAAATATACATGGTTCAATAAATGTAGGTAAATTAATAATTGACAAATGCACAGGTAAGAAAGTCTGTTTTCTTAGATGTTAATATTGGTCCCTTAATCCTAAAACAGCACCTCAAAACATCACCAAAATTTCAACTTCAAATCAGCAACCAAAAAAACATAATTCCAGATGAATCAAAGACCTAAGCATTTTGAAAAGCAAAAGACAAACATACAGGCACACATACAAAAGACACCATAAAAATTATTCCAAGGAAATATAGAGGCCAGGTGGGGTGGCTCATGCCTGAAATCTCAACACTTTAGGAGGCCAAGGCAGGAAGACTGCTTGAGCCCAAGAGTTCAAGACCAGCCTGGGCAACATGGTGAGACCCCAACTCCACAAAAAATATAAAAATTAGCTGGCTATGGTGCCACACACTTGTGGTCTCAGCCACTTGGGAGGCTGAGGTAGGAGAATCACTTGAGCCAGGGAGGTCAAGGCTATAGTGAGCTGTGATTGCACCACTGTAGTCCAGCCTGGGCAACAGGGTGAGACTCTGTCTCAAAAACAAAACAAAACAAAACAAAACAAAAAGATAAGAAAATATAGAAGAATATGCTTAAAATTATAGGACACTGCTTCTTAAGTAGGTCATAAAATCTAAAAGTCATACAAAAAGACTGATAACTATACCCAAATTAAAAACCTTACATGTCCAAAAGAAACCAAAAATCAAAAAACACAAAAAAGGTTTACAACATATGTACAGGAAAAAGATTAACACTCCAAATATAGTAAGATATGAAAAAACCAAAAATATTCAGAAATCAAGATTTTATCTAACATAATGGTAAAAATTTCAAAGTCCTGCTATAAAAGAGCAGCAACTGAAAGCTGAAAGAACTGAGCGGAAAACTGAACCACTGCCGAGTCTGAATCTAGCCTAGTATTCAAGTATTTGCCTGAAAGAACAAAAACCACTCTTCAGAGAAACACAGCAAAGTCAAGACTCTTCCCTAATATGATATTCTATATGCATCAAAAGGCAACGGACATGAGAAGAAATATGGAACACATGACTCTTACTCCAGACAAAACCAGTCTATAGAAACCAACACTAAGATGCCCCAGATTCTGATACTGCCACACAGATTTTAAAGCCGCTACTAAAAAATGTTCAAGAATTATGGAAGAACATACACATAATAAGTAGATGAGGAAATATCTGCAGAAAAGAAGGAACTATTTTTTTTTAAAGGCAGTGGATTGCAGAGATGAAAAGTAAAATAACTGAAGTATAAGACTCACTAGGTACTTCAAGCCAAGACAGAGTAACACACTAGATTTACTCTTGCCTGAAACAACCGAAGAGCAAAATGTACGGAGCAATAGTTTTTATGGCACCTAACAGCAGGCAATGAAGGGCAGCAATCCCTGAGACACAGTAAACAAGTGAGATAAGCCCTGACTATAGGGCAGGAAAGAGGGCCCAGTGGAGCCCAGGAGACTCTGAGAGCAAGAGACATAGCTGAGAGTTTGGGAGGCCAAGGTGGGCAGAGTACCGGAGAAAAGCAGAGAGCTACACACAGAGAGAACTCTGAAGATATGCAGAGGGTCCCACTCAAGTACTGGTGAGCTCAGTATTGATCAGAACATGCAGCTGAGAAAACTACCCAAGGCCAGGAAAGAAGTACTCAAGGGAATCAGAGGAAAGAGTGCTCCATGTTCACACAGACTAAAACTTCACTGCTCATGTAGCAATGGATACAGTAGGCAAAAGGGTCTTGCCTCAGCAGTAGGGACTAATTAGCCTAAGAAAGAAGCTTAATCAATAAAAATAGAGGAAAAAAATAAGAGAAGAATCAATGAAACCAAAAGTTCATTCTTTGAAAGATCAATAAAATGAGTGGTTCACGCCTGTAACCCCAGGACTTTGGGAGGCTGAGACAGGAGGATCACTTAAAGCCTATAAGGCCAGCCTGGACAACAAAGCAAGACCCGTATCTCTACAAAAAATTAAAAAATTAGCCAGGTGTGGTGGCTCATGCTTGTAGTTCCAGCTACTTAGGAGGCTGAGGCAGGAGGATCACTTGAGCACAGGAGTTTTGAGGTTACAATGAGATGATCATGCCACTGGACTCCAGCCTGGACAACAGAGCAAAACCCTGTCTCAAAACAAACAAACAAACAAACAAAGAAAAAGATCAATAAAACTGATAAACCTCTAGCCACACTGATCAAAGGAAAAAAAAAGAGAAAAGACAGAGAAATGAAAGAGGTGACATCACTACAGATACCACAGATATTAAAAGGATAATAAGGAAATATTATGAACAACTTTGTCAATAAATTTAATAACTTAGACAATATCAATATATTCCTTGAAATACATAAACTTCCAAAGCTCATTAAAGAGGTTAATTAGGATTTACTGACAGAAAAGAACTCTGGCACACCAAAGTATTAGGATGTGTTCAATTCTCTTCCCCTTAGAAAAAGCTCATGATTTCCAGAAATACCAAATAAAACAGAGCTTAAAGTTAAATTAAGACAATGTCTGTTTAGATTAAAATAGCTTCTTAAAATAAAAAAGATAATAGAGCCAGAGCAGATAATCTAGCTCAGCCACTTAAGTTACACCTATACTTGTCAGAAATCTTGTATTTTGTTCTTAATTTTGAAATCATATTTAAATTGTTATTGTTTTGCTTAATAATGACATATTAGCAAGCTGAAATATAAACTCTTCTATATAAAAGGACTGGGAATAAACGTTATTTGGAATCTGAAAAAAAGTGTTGCTTCTACCACATGCACAAAGATGTTTTTCATCATAGCAGAAAATGTCTATGGTTCTCCCTCTATCCCGTCCCTAGCCCATCCCATACACATAAACCCCTCCTAGGCTCTGTAGTTTACTAAACTACAATTATTAGCAAATAATTGCAGCAGATCTCACACACACAAAAATAAAAAAGTAAAAATTCTTTTTCTATTTTTACTTGAGACATATATAACTATTAATCATACCTTTGTATTGACATGCAGTAACTTATGTTGATCTATTTCAGAACCAACACAAATAAGCTTAATATGTTAGCTGAAGTCTGAGGTTTGTCATCATCAGTAAGTGTATAGTTTCCATTAGGATTCTGAAATACTTAAATGAGTTCAAGGATTACCATTGTTACCTTCACTGACCTTTAGGAGTTCAGAAATTATATAGGTTTGAAGATCATTGCCCTAAAGGGAGCTGTGCAGGAAATTATGCATAGTAATGTAAAGACTGAATAAGTAAAATTTAGTCACTTAAACTCAAGTTCTGTCAATTTATAATTATTCTCACTCAAAAAGTGAGAATAAGCCAAAATTTTATTTCCATTTTAAAAATGATATATCGTACTTCATTATCATGGTTTATACTTAGTAGTATAATCCACTGCTGATCTGAACCAAAACAACAACCAAAAGCAGGGAAGTCTCTAGGACTAGATAATTCTTCTCTATACAATATTCAAAATATACCTCCTGTTTCTTCATGCATATGCCATTTACAAGCAGTAACAGGTATTTGGTAAAGCCAAGTTAAATCCTCATAATCTGTCACATACTATTAATTCAGAAATGCTTTGTGAAAAATCTGCAGAGGAAGAAAGGAAGGAGAGATAGAAAGAGGGCAGAAGTGGCAAGAGAGAAGAGGGTGAGGGATCAGGATGGAAAGGAGATAGGGAGGCAGAGGGAAAGGGGAAGACAAGGAAGAAAGAAAATGCAACCACAAACCTGCAAATATTCTGATGTAATTTTTCCTGAAGTTCAATGAAGCTATCATATCGATCTTTAGTAAACTTTATATTACGGAGAACTGCTGCTACCGCAAAAGGACGTATCTTAGCTGTCTGAAATTCATAATATCATTAGAGATAGCAAACAGTAAGGTTTTTCTTTGTAATATCTTGTAATAGGAAGGCAGCTGCACTCTTGCCACTGGCATATATTTTCATTCAAACAAGTATGTATTAATTTATTCAGTCAACAAGTAATAAAGTGGTAAACTAGAGACAAAGTCACTACCTTCACAGAATTTATATTTCAGTTAAGATTTCTGAAAATGTATTAAATAATAGAGAAAAAGTTTGCTCATAATTCGTATTTTTACCAAAACAACCCCTCCGAAAAGTTTAAAATCTTTTAAAATTTCATTAACATTCCACAATTTAAACAATTATATCTCAAATGTGTTTTAAACATGCAGTGGATATTATTATCCAAAACTATTTATGGAAAGCAAAGGCTTGTTCTTTTTCATTCCTAGGTTAAAAAAATTTTTTTAAGAGCTAGTGACTAAGTATATACTCATTTTAGTAAATGATCAAAGAAAATCACATTTTTTAGAAGGGTAAGCTTTGGGCCAGGCACAGAGGCTCACACCTATAATCCCAGCACTTTAGGGGGCTGCAGAGGAAGGATCCTTTGAGCTCAGGAATTTAAGACCAGCCTGGACAACATGATGAAACCCCATTTCTAAAAAATACAAAAAATTAGCTGGGTGTGGTGGTGTGTACCTGTACTCCCAACTACTCAGGAGGCTGAGGTGGGAGGATCACTTGAGCCTGAGAAGCAGAGGTTGCAGTGAGCCAAGACTGCACCACTGCACTCCTGCCTGGGCAACGGAGCCAGACCCTGTCTCAAAAAAGAGTAAGTCTTGTTTCTTTTTCCTCCCCACCTTATACAGACATATACAAAAGAAAATATTTTAAGGAAAAATAAGAATTTATCCTTATTACCTCTTCTGTGATAATCAATTTCTGGATTTTTCCATCAGGCATTACCCGTTTATACACTGGAGCCTTTATCCTAAAATAATATTTAAATGAATTTACTCATAATTAATCAAGACATTACATAAAATAATTATATTCTATGCTGTATATGGGAAGTATACAAAATGAATTAGGGCAATGGGTTGAGTTATAGCAAGTCAAATTTTGGCTGAACACTAAAAATAAAAAAAAATAAAATAAATAAAAACTAACAAACTTTTTAACATTTAAAGTTGTCCAAAAATGACATAAGATGCTTCACAGTAATGTATTTCCTATCACTAGCATCCCAGCAGAAGCTACAAACCGTTAACTGAGCAATTGTTTAAGGAGCATTTCAACATCAGCTGAGAGACTGGATTAGATAACCTTTAAGTTATGATAGTTAGGCGGGGCGCGGTGGCTCAAGCTGTATCCAGCTTGGGAGGCGAGGGGTGGTCACGAGGGAGATCGGACTATCTGGCTACTGGTGAACCTGTCTCTATAAAATAAAAAACTAGCCGGGGTGGTGGCAGGCGCTGTAGTTCAGCTACTTGGAGGGAGGCGGGAGATGGGTGCCGGGAGGCGGAGCTTGCAGTGAGCGAGATACCACTGCACCAGCTGGAGAACAGCGAATCCGTCAAAAAAAAAAAAAAAAAAAAAAAAAAAAAGTTATGATAGTTATTCTAACCATGAGATTCTGAGCTTCCAGGAAAAAGCAGAGCTTATGGAAAATACAGATTCCCTGGTTCCATCTGGACCTACTATTACCAGATGATAAAATAAGTCAAGACAAAGATTTGGTAAATGGTGCAATTTGAAGGCATCTCTAGGGAACTCTTATCATAGGGAGAAGTTGGGAACTACTGTTTTAAGGCAGTGCTTCTCAAATTTCAACGTGCTTACAATTAACTGGGAAGTTTGCTAAACCACAGATTCTGATTAATAGGTGTTGGGTGGCAACTAAGACTGCATTTCTAGTAAGTTCTCAGGTGATTCAGATGCTACTGGTCCATGGACTCACTTTAAGTAGAAAACATTTTAAGTTGCTTTCCTAATTCTGTCTGATCATAAAAATCACAAGGTGACTGGTAAAAATACAGATTCTCATTGATTGGGTAGGGTTGGGAAATGAACTCTTACAAGTTATCCTTGATCCTAAAATAAAAGCATCTGATTGTCCTGCAGGAAACCAACCGGGTCAACTCCAAAATTTTAAACATCCTTAACCTAATGCCTAATTATCATTATTTCACCAATACCCATCACTCACCTAAATCCTCACAATTTCAGAATCTAGCCCATCAGTTAGAACTCTTATTCTTTTGCAGATGACCAGATAACGTAGAAGTAATCAAAAACAAAAACAATTAATTTTTAATAGCTATGATTTTTTTCACTTTATATATTCGCTACCCTCTATCCTTTTTTTTTTTTTTTTTTTTGAAATGGAGTCTCCCTCTGCTGCCCAAGCTGGAGTGCAGTGGCACAAATCTCAACTCACTGCAACCTCCACCTCCTGGGTTCAAGCAATTCTCGTGCCTCAGCCTCCTGAGTAGCTGGGATTACAGGTGCACGCCACTATACCCAGCTAATTTTTGTATTTTTAGTAGAGATAGGGTTTCACCATGTTGGCCAGGCTGGTCTTGAACTCCTGACCTCAAGTGATCCACCAGCCTCGGCCTCCTGAAGTGCTGGGATTACAGGCACATTGTCCAGCCCCTCTATCTTTATTAAATGAAAAGTTGGAAGGGGCCTTATAAATCTTCTTCATTATAGATTAGGAAATTGAAACTAGAGCAGCCAACTAACTTGCTCAAGATCACGGAGCCGTCATAAGGTCTTTGGTTTTCCAGTTAGGAGGCTTCACTCCTGAGGTTCCTTAGAACTCATAATGTAAGGGTATTGCCAGCTCTCCATTTCCTCTCAACCTTTAACACATCTAGCAAACTACTCATTCCAATTAGATGATGGAGGGAAATCACACACACCTGCTAAAGAATTTTTCAAGATGCCATAAAAGCATTAACCACCAGTTTTAAAATATGCTCCCAAAAATGAATGGCTATGACTCAAATTTTCACGGAAATTTTCAAATGGCTACAATCTACATGAATCTAATCCTCAAATCAACCCTCTGCTGAGAGTTAAAGCTGCGTGCCTATACAAGCTTTTTCCTAGAAATTTAAAAACGGCTGCTAATAACGACAAGGAAAGAAAGAAAATCCAACTTAGCAAAGTCTTTAAGGAACATATTTCCTTACCTTTCTTTGAAGACCTGAAGTCCTCGAACCAATCCTTCCAGACACAGGAGATCATATCTATTGGCAGGGACGTCAATTTTGTAAAGAACAACATCAGAGGCTCCTGCTGCCTTTACATTACCTTGTTCTTTACTTATTATTTCCTTCTCAGATGTCTAAAACAAGCCAAAAAGTAATGATAAAATTAAATAATTTAAATTCTCTTTAAAAAGTAAAAGTTGGCTGGGCGCTGTGGCTCAAGCCTGTAATCCCAGCACTTTGGGAGGCCGAGACGGGCGGATCACGAGGTCAGGAGATCGAGACCATCCTGGCTAACACGGTGAAACCCCGTCTCTACTAAAAAATACAAAAACCTAGCTGGGCAAGGTGGCGGGTGTCTGTAAGTCCCAGCTACTCGGGAGGCTGAGGCAGGAGAATGGCGTGAACCCGGGAGGCGGAGCTTGCAGTGAGCTGAGATCCGGCCACTGCACTCCAGTCTGGGCGACAAAGCGAGACTCTGTCTCAACCAAAAAAAAAAAAAAAAAAAAAAGTAAAAGTTGTCAGCCCTATAGGGCAGTAACTACATTATACATATTTTCTACAAGAACACGGGATTTTTATATCCATGACAAAAACAACATGACAATATTAAGTGTTATAATCGTAGCAGACAGAAAAATACTTCAACTTTAACTGAGTTCGGATATCTGGCATCCTCAATCTCCCCAGAACAGCACAAATCCATCTAAACAAAGGTCCACAAGCAATGGCCCGCTGGCCAAATCATACCTGATACTTGATAAAGATTTATTGGAACACAGACAGACCCATTCGTTTACCTATTACCTACTGCAACTTACACACTGCAATAGCTGAGTTGAAACAGAGACTATAGAGCCTACAAAGCCTAAAATATTTACTATCTGGCCCTTTACAGAAAAAGGTTTCCCATCTCAAGCTAAAGAAAATGAAAACATCAGCAGGTACATAAAGTAACAACAAAAGTGTCAAAGGGGTAAAAGAAAGATGATTCACTAAATAAAAGAAACACACCTTCTTATAGGATGACTCTAAAACTTAAATCCTGTGGGCACCCAAGTCCACATGACAATAAGAGGGACAGTGTAAAAACAAAAAACATTCAGAGACCATCAGACACTGGTGAAAATTAAAAGAGATAATAGGTGCAATGGGAGGCAAACTAGTGATAGTAAAGGGATAGTGAGGCAGAATTAAGGCAACCAAGAGGGAGATGACGGAAGAAACACCACTAGAATCACGGTGAATGCAGTGGTAAAGAGTTTAGAATATTTCAACCACCACACTACAGCAGAGCAACAGACTGTCTTAAACATAACCACTGCAGAGAAGTTACACTCTACTCCTTATGTTTACTACAGCAGGGAACTGTAAATAGATTTAAGAAATTTTCACTCGAAATGATTAAAAGTTATATTCCAATTGTTAATGTTACCTTTTAATTATTTGGAAACTCCACTTAACCCGAATTCCTACTATTTCCACCAACAACCTGCTAAAATAACTGATGGATTTCTATCAAAATATGTAATGATTTTTGTTTTACATGATGCCCTCCCACTGCCACAATATAAGTAGTTCAAATTTTTGACCAAATTAAGAATTATATCCACATTTGCACAGTATGCAGAGGAATTCACTTCTGGGCACTGAGTATTATGTGCCAAAGTCCCACCCAAGGAACCGCAGGAGTCTATGCAATGCTGGGGCTGTGTGAGGTGGTGCTGGGCTCCAAAAAACATCTACCTTGGGCATCTCGAACTTAGAAGGCAAATTTTTAAAATTAGGGAAAACGAAAAATGAAAAACAAGAGAATGAAGAGGAGGAGGAAGGAGCAAAAAGGGGGAAAAGAAAAGAAGGGGAAGAGGCAAAAAGAGGAGAGGAAGAATTCGAGTTTAAACAACGTTCAATCAAAGGGGTTAATAAAATTACTGTTTAAATAGTGAAGAAAGCTGAGTCACCTCCCAGGAGATGGCAGATCTCAGAAGGGACCTCTATACAGAGAAGATAATACAATAACCAGAGAAATGAAGGCATCTGCATTCAGTTTTCAGCAACACCGCCTTATCCACAGGGGATATGTTGCAAGCTCCCCAGTGGATGCCTGAAACCTTGGAGAGTACTAAACGTTACATATACCATGTTTCTTCCTATACATACATACATACCTATGAGAAAGTTTAATGTATAAATTAGGCACAGTAAGAGATTAACAACTAATAATAAAATAGAACAATTAAAATAATATACTATAATAAGAGTTATGTGAATGCAGTCTCTGTCTCAGAATTTCTTATTGTACTATACTCACCTATTTTCAAACCACAGTTTGCTGCAGGTAACTAAAACTGTGGGTAAGGAGGAACTGCTGTAAAAAAAGATCTAACTCCTTTGCAAAAAAAAAAAAAAAAGAGAGACACAGAAGCTTTCAGCTTCTTTCAGTTTCAGCATCTCAACTCATAAAATGACCATATGTAAGATTTGTCAGTGCTACCTGACAAAAATCTTACAGAAATTAAAAACCACATAAATTTCAGAGTCAAAAAAGAAAACCATAAAGATCATATAATCCAAACCCCTTATTTCACAAGTGAAAAGGAGGCCCAGAGAGACTCGTCTGGACTGTAGGGTCCAGACAGGCAAAGTAAGTATCCACAGTTACACAGCTAGTAAATGTTAGAACTAGAACTCAAATTATCTAACATCCAGTCCAACACTCTTAGATATCACATAACTTCACACATAATTCTGAGGTGTAAGTAAAATTACTAATAGTAACTTATAAACTACAGAAATCTCAGCCAATTTCTCAAGTATACAAATATTGATTAGTATAAAGATGATCTTTCTGTAACATTAGTAAGGCAGCAGGAAAAATAAGGTAAGACAATGTACAGTTTTTTAGCCTGAAGATTTTTTAACTTTACACCTAAGGTAGTGTTATAAAAACACTGAATAGGTGAAGATAGAAGGCTTAGGAAAAAAATAACACTAACTACCAGTAAAGTATTTTTTAAATTAAAGTATGTCCTTAATAGATAATCATTGTTAACAATATTAAAATGTATAGCCCAGACTTAATTTTTAAAAATATTTTAATCATTATACAATCAAAAGTCAAAGAAACGCTTCCTCATTTTTATAAGCAAGACCTTAAAAACTATGAGCTCATTTTACAAGATCAGTGTATAGTAATGCATTAGTGCTGGTTGAAGAGGCACGGAGGAAGGCGATGGGGGCAGAGGAGGTGAAGGAGGAGGCGCTAGAGGAGAAGGAGGCAGGGCAACTCTGGTTGAAGCAACATTTCTACTGCTTCTTGGTCCCTTTCTGTGATTAATTTGTCAAAGGAGGGAGCTTACTTTCATACTGGGGTTATCTAACACATTCTATCCATTTCCACAGCATGAGTCTGACAACAAGGTGATTGTAGATGGAATAAGGCATGAACCCCTTTTGAGATTTTAGTCAAAGCAACAGACAGAACTGGAGCTTAGCCCTCTGAACACAGAAATCACAGCCCACAAATGTTATCATCTTAGTCTAACTATAAGTAACAAAGATGAAATATAGCACACCCCTGAAAAATAAGCTTACGCACATAATCTTTGAAAAATAGACAAATATCCAATACATACAATTTCATCAAGTTCCAGACCAAATTCAAAACATAGTTCGTCAAATTCTTCGTCAGCTAGGAAAATAAACAAGGAGATGGTTAATTTTACTTCGTTCAGCATAAGTGAAAACTACATACAAATTGCATTTTCTTATTATTAATTGCTGTACACCAACCATACTACTAAATATCAGGCATCATGTTCATCATTTAAAAACAAACAGGCCAGGTGCGGTGGCTCACGCCTATAATCCCAGCACTTTGGGAGGCCGATGTGGGTGAATCACCTGAGGTCAGGAGTTTGAAACCAGCCTGGCCAACATGTATACCAGGCACTGTACTAGGTACCAGGGTTACAAAGATAAATAAAACACAATTCCTGCCTTAACTACTACTTCATCTGGTAAAGAAGCCAGATGTGTAAATAAATATGACTATGTTAAGTACAAGGTACAGGGCTGGCACAAAAGAAGTAATCAGTTCCACTTATGGTCAGCTAAACTTTCACAGAAAGGATGAGTTCATCAGGCAGAGATCATGGGGAGTGAAATAGCATGGCAAATTTGGAAACTCTTAAGTAGTTCAACAATGGATGAAACATAAAGTTCATACCAGGAGAAGATATGATAGAACAAGGAGAAAGAGGTCAACTAACAATTTGCCCTCTTTCTTACAGACAGGCAATGGAGAATTATACTGAAGGGATTCTTCAGCTGGGCAAAAACATGATTATCTGCATTCTAAAGACTGCTCGCAGAGTAAGAGGATGGATTGGAGCAGGGAGTCTACTGCAATAGTACAGATGCGATATAGTGAAGGCTTCATTTAAAGCAGCACCAGCAAGAATGAGGAAGAAAGGATTAATATGAAAAACATTAAGGACGTGGAATGTAAAAGGCTCAATGGCCAAATGATGGGAGGTAGGAATAGGGAGTGTGTAGAAGGAGTCTAGGATGAATCCTGGATCTCTGGTTTGGGGGAAAAAGTGGGTGGAGCTATCATTAACTAGGGCAGGTAGTAACAGGTACCCAGCCTCCAAGACAGCCCGTTCCATGATCCCAGCCTCCTTGTATTCATGCTCTTGTGTGAACTGAGGTCTGGAGCAATCACAAGAGTGAGTTTGGAAGCAGATTCTCCAGCCCAGTCAAGCCTTGAAATGACAGCAAACCCAGCTGACAGCTAGATTGCAACATGGTGAGACCCAAAGCCAAATCACCTACCTAAGCTACTCCCTGATTCCTGTCTCTCAGAAATTTCGTAAAATAATAAAGGCTTGTTTTACACTCCTAAGTACTGCAGTAATTTGCTACACAGCAACAGACTACTAATACTTTGGATTAATTTGTTATATAGCAATAGATTACTAATACAGACTTTAGTCCCTGGAAATGGGGTACTGCCGTAACAAAAATGAAAAGCACGGGAATGGCTTTGGAACCAAGCGGTGGGCTTTGAGGAGCGTAAATGAAAACCTAAAGAAAGAAGCCTCATAGTCTCTGGTAAGGATACAAGTGAGGACATGGAGGAAAGTGAGGTACTGTTATCAGAAAATGGAAGAAGAGGAATCCTGGTTAAGCAGAGGCAGAAGGCTTAGCAACACCATTCCCTGCAGTTATCTGGACTGTAAAAAGTCAATGGGGTGATGTAATTAAGAAGATTTCCAACCAGTGTTCAAAGTGCCACCTGGGTTTTTCTTGTGCTTATGTGAAAAAAAGAGATAAGCTAAAAGAAAGGCTGTTAAACAAAAATGAGCCAGGATGTTGGGGATTTTAAAAATTCTCATCTTCTCCAGATGTGAAACAATACTAAAATTGAGGAAAGACCAAAATCCAAGGCACTGCCAGGAAAATATGGTCCAAAGATAAAATCAAGAGTATGACTGTAAAATCTTAAGACCCAGAAAGATCAAAGGCGCTAATCATTCCAACAAAGGGTGCTATAAAAAATTATAAAGAATATACCTCATAAATCCAATTAATCACACAATAGGGCTTAATTAAGAGCACTGTTATCAGCAGAAACTCAATATATTTCAGAGATGTGTAGGTGGTGTGGCTTTTGACTAATAAAATGGAAGCCAGAAACATGCACCAAAGACCCTCAAAGTTTTTAGAAGAAATACATATGCAGAAGCATTGCCAGCTAGAATTGAAAGGGATAGAAATAGAATAAAATGAAGTCTTTGAACTCTCAAAATTCTATTAGCAGTAAGTAGACTGAGAAAACCAACCAGCTGTGAAGCACATGCTTTCTAGGGATCACTCAGAGGGGTGGAAACCAAGAGCCTAGAGGGCAGGGCAGACAGCCATGGAGAATTATCCCAGGCCTTCAGACCTAATCAAGAACATCCAACATTTGCCACTTGATTTCAGAATTGCCATGGACCAATGACTCCTTTGTGTCTCCCATTTCCGCCCCTTTGAAGAGGAAGGGCTACAGGAGTTACCCTATGCCCATCCCACCACTGTGTGTTAGGTGTATGTGGGGCAGATAACTGGTCTCTCGAGTCTCTCAGGCCAAGAGTGTACTAAAGAAGCCATACTGAAGGAACTACACCCAAGCCGCCACATCCACATCTGGTCCTGATTTAGATGATGAGATTCTAGATTCTGAGCTGCTGCTGTAATGGGATGGCACTTCTGAGGGCTTTGGGAGGGGGTGAGTATATTTTCATATACTGAGTGGAGGTTAGAGGGGGAATGGTGGTAGTCAGCCTCCAAGATGGCCTCCAATAATACCGGCCTCCTGGTATTCACACCCTTGCACAGTTCCCTTCCACATTGTGCTAGGATTGGTCTGTGACCAAGAGAATATGAGAAGGGCTAGTATATCACTTCTGAGTTGTTATTGAAAACAGGCGTCTATCCTGAGCACTCTCTCGGACCTCTCCATCTGGGGCAAACAAGCTAACATGTTCTAAGTAGTCCTGTGGAGAGGATAAGGTGGGAGGAACTAAAGCCCCTGGCCAAAAGTCAGCAAGGAACTGAGGTTTGCCAACAACCACTTGAATGAACCTGAAGGCAGTTTCTCCAGACTGTTAGGCCTTGACATGACTACGGATCTGGCAAATACCTTGACTGTAATCTGGTAAAAGATCCAGAGCAAAAACCACCCAGCTAAGTCAGTACCCAATTCCTGACCCTCAGAAACTATGTAACAAATGAGAGCTGCTTTAAGATGCTAAACTTTGGGATAATTTAGTACGCAGTAATAGATAACTAAATGGTACAGAACTATTAAAATATGCTGAATCCTAATTATCGTATGTTTTATTCCTTTCAGGAATAATAAAACCCTGCATTAAAAAACCCTGTATTTCATGGGTTTCGATACAAAGAAAAATCAACAATAAAATCGTGATTAGTAATTTCCTCTAACAAAATGACACATCAAGTAACCATACCTTAGGGGTGTATATGATATACACAGAAGGCTCTGTCACTACTGCCAGCTATTACACCATGCCAGAACAGGACTATAATTGAAGAGCAATGATAATAAATCAGTTAACAAGAAAAGGAGTGGCAAGAGGAAAACATCTGTACAGAAAGTCAATTGAAAAGGTAGACTAAGGAGACAAACCTGCTCCAAAGGAGTCAGATCAGCAAAACAACCAAAATGGCAAACAGCTTGAAAGAGAAATATCCTTGCTAAGCAAAGAGGAGGTAAAAAGGAAGGTGGGGACTGGTAGAAACAATGAAATTTCAAATAGAAAGCAACCCTTGGAGGGACTAAAGAGAGAGAACGTGGATTTTAAAAGGAAACAATGAAAAAAAGGAAAAACAAAAAAAAAAAAAAAAAAAAAAAAAAAAAAAAAAAGAGGAACACTGGGGAAAAAAAAAAAAAGGTAAGAAACAAGATGTATCCATACTACTTGGAAACCACATGCTTTGCTGAACATGCTTTTCCAGTTCTGACCTCAACCCAGTTAACAGTTTCAAGAAAGAACACAATAAACGTAAACTAATGAGGAGTATCATTTCTGACCTCTCGAAAGTACATCTCAAAAATAACATCAATTCTCTTGACCAATTTTTTTTTTTTTTTTTTCTGAGACAGGGTCTCACTTTGTGGCCGGGGCTGGAATGCAGTGGCTTTATCACCACTCACAACAGCCTTGACCTACTTGGTTCAAGTGATCCTCCGGCCACAGGCTCCCGAGTAGCTGGGACTACAGGTACACACCACCACACCCAGCTACTTTTTGTAGAGACAGGGTTTTGCCATGTTGCCCAGTCTGGTCTCCAACTCCTGAGCTCAAGCAGTCTGCCCACTTCGTCCTCCCAAAGTGCTGTGATTACAAGCATCAGCCATGTACCTGGCCCTTAAAAGATTCAGTACCTAACAAACACATATTTGTGAAAAAAATCAATCTTAATTGATCACTGACAATATGAAAAAAAAAAAGGGAAGGGGACAGAATATGTTGAAACATCAGATGACAGTAAAGAGGTTATAAATCTCACCATTTTTAAAAATCTGGATTATTTCTTACCTCCCTAGAAATGGAGACTGGGATGGGAACTGATTGTAGATGTTTTGAACAAATATTTGCCACCTACCATCTTAGGCAATTCAGGTATACAGATAGAGCATTCCTAATTCAAAAATCTGAAATCTGACATGCTCCAAAACCCAAAACCTTAAAGTGTAGACAGGATGCCACAAGTGGAAAATTCCACACCTGACTCCATGTGACTTGTCAAAAACACAGTCAAAACCTTGTTTCATGCAAAAAAAAGTATTTAAAGTATTCCATAAAATTAACTTCAGGCTATGCATATAAGGTGCATATGAAATATAAATCAATTTTATGTTTAGACCTGGGTCCCACCCCCAAAATATCTCATTATGTACATGCAAATATCCCCAAATCCAAAATCCAAGACGCTTCTGGTCTCAAGCATTTTGGATCAGGAATTAGCAACCTGTACCACATCCCATTAGTGAGAATATGGTTTAGAAGGTCAGGTAAGAAATATAAATAAGCTCATTATAAAATAAAGCGATTAGGCGATTAGAGACAAGTACAAAGGGTAAGAGTAATACAATACCCTTGTATTTCCTTTACTTTCAGGGACTTATGGCAGAACTTACGAAGAATATCACATTGAGAATAGGTACTATCTAAAAGTACACGCTTAGGAAAGATTTTTAAAAGCCAGTTTTATTTTCACAGTAGCAGTAATATCTTATTTTGGAAAGCGGTGGCTGTCATTAAACCAGTTAGGCCTTTGTTATCACACTGAGCGCTAAAAAGAAAAAAACAGCTCTCACAAACCAGTTGGTACAGTCTTTATACAAGCTAAAAATTATGGGGTGGGGGCCGCGTGCGGTGGCTCACGCCTGTAATCTCAGCATTTTGGGAGGCCGCGGCTGGCGGATCACGAGGTCAGGAGTTCAAGACCAGCCTGGCCAAGATGGTGAAACCCGGTCTCTCTAAAAATACAAAAAAAAAAAAATCAGCCGGGCGTGATGGCAGGCGCCTGTAATCCCAGCTACTCGGGAAGCTGAGGCAGAGAATTGCTTGAACCGGGTGGCGGAGGTTGCAGTCAGCCGAGATAGTGCCACTGCACTCCAGCCTGGGCGACAGACCGAAACTCCTTCTCAAAAAAAACCAAAAAGGGTGGGGCACCTGCTACGGCTGTGAGGTAACTGATAACTGCACTTAATATCTCCCTCCTTTTTGCAATGGTTGTGTTTTTAGAACTGAATAAAAGATGAAATGTAGAATGAAGTCTACGCCCACTGAATACTCCTCATCCAGGTCTCAGATCAAATGTTACCACCCTATCTAAAGTTGTTCTTGGCACAACACCTCTTCTTTCCTTGATGGCATTTAACATTATCCGAAATCATTTTATTAATGTGCTGGTTAATTGTCTGCCTCCATCAGACAGAACGTGGACCTGACGTGTCATGTGCACAGCCCTTGTCCTAAGCTCTTCGAACAGTGCCTGACACATAACAGGCGCTCAGGAAACATTAATAAGACGAAGACAGATGGAATGCCTTTCTCCATCCCGCTGCACAACTCTCTCCTCCTACCCCCTTATAAACTGAGTTCCCACAGCGCTCTTATTGCAATGAACTGGCTACGCTCGGGATACAACCCCGGGTTTCCTTCCTGTTCTATCCCCTGGCTTGGATGTCGGTGCCAGGCACGCTGTAGGCACTCGATGGCAGATCGCTGAATGAATGACACGGCGAGCCGGGCACGAGCAGTGGCACCCCTGCGATGCCGGTTCCGAGGCTACCACAGCCCAGTCGGACCGCCACCATCATCGGCCCTCCAGTATAAACCCCGGCCTCCCGGGGCCAAAACCTTCAGGAAGACATGAATGTCACCACAATGCCCTTTAGGAGGGAGGCCCAGCCTCCAAGAAGAGGCGTAGGGCCCAATGTATAGGGCCGGCACTCACTGTAGGTGCGGCCCAGGGCTTGGAAGAGCAGATCACGCTTCACGCTGACAGTCGGCATGGCGAGTCGAACTCACTGCGCCTGCGCGGCGAGCTGACCCGGGATTCCCTAGCGAGGCGCGTAGGACCCGCCTCTTCTTGTGCGAGCTGTCTTGAATATCGCCATTCTGCTGCCAACAGTTCCAGTTCTTATTTTAACCTAAAAACACTCATCTTGCCATTACCTCGCTGATTAAATGTATCTTTATGGGACTAATAGCTTAAAAACCTGTAAGAGACATATAATTTGATAGCACTGGCTAGGATTTGTCAGGCATTGTAACGTACTGTCCCTGAAGTCCCGGATGCTTCCAGCGCGCTAAGGGCAGGGCGGAGAGAGGGGCGCGTCAGGGAGGGGGCGGGGCCTCCACGTGGGAAATCTTGCCTGGAGGTGGTGGAAAGGCGAGAGGAGACGGTTCAAGGCTTCCTGCAGAGAAAGGTGTGCAACTCCTGGCGGCGGAAGAGGGGCTGTTAACAGACCTCGGTTTTTACTTCATTCTTTAATCTCTCCCATACTCGTATAAGTGATATACCTGTGTTTCTTTTGAACTTTACGGCAGCCCTATAAGGGAGTCTTTGTAAGAGACCTCCTTTTTAGTCTATTTGCTCAGTGCTCTCTGCTGTCAGTGGGCTGTGCTCAGCCTTCCTCCTTAAAACGACCCTGAGTGTAGTAGGCTGAATAACGGCCCCCAGTAGTATCAGACCCTAATCCCTGCAACCTCTAAATGTAACTTTATATAGAAACAGCGCCTTTGCAGATTAAGGATTTTGAGATAAAGATTATTATCCTGGATTCTAAAGACGGACCCTGAATGGAATCACAGTATCCTCATAAAAACATAAAAGGGAGGTAGAGAGAGACGATGTAGCCACAGTGGCAGCCACAACCCAAGGATGCCAGCAGCCACCAGAAACAAAGAGACAAGCACACTCTGGGAGTGAGGGGGTGGAGGAGTGGGGAGCATCAAAAATAGCTAATAGATGCTGGGCTTAATACTTAGGTGATGGGATGATCTGTGCAGCAAACCACCATGGCATACGTTTACCTATGTAACAAACCTTCACATCCTGCACATGTACCCCTGAAATAAACAGAGACAAGGACAGATTCACGCCCAGCCTATGGGGCAGCCGTGTAATACATGCTGGTTTGGGCCCAGTGAAACTGATTTTGGGTTTCTGGCCTCCAGAACTATGAGAGCATAAATTTTTGGTTTAAGTCAGCAAGTTTGTGGTAATTTGTTTCAGCAGCCAAGGGAAACTAATATATCAAGGTAGGTACCATTATCCCTGTTTTACCAGTAATGAAACTAAGGCACAACCTGGCATTTCCAGGGGGAGACTTGCCCTAATCCTTTCTACTGTACAGTGAGTGAGGGCTTCTTCCAAGGTCCTTCACATGAGGAGACAAAAGCTGAGCCAGATGTAGGACACTCTAACTACTAATCAAGCAGTTTTTCACTACACAGTATTAGCTGCCTTCCATGGGAAGGCAGTCCCTTCCCAATGACCAACATAACAGATTGGCAACACCCCATAAATGGCAAACATGCCCAATGCAAAATACAGTTTTCCACCTAAAATTGGTGCTTCGTGCTCAATTAATAAGCAAAGGACTAGTGCCAGGCACGATGGCTCACACTTGTAATCCCAACACTTTGGGAGGCTGAAGTGGGCAGATCACTTGAGGTCAAGAGTTCGAAACCAGCCTGGCCAACATGATAAAACCCCATCTCTACTAAAATTACAAAAATTAGCTGGGTGTGGTAGCAGGCACTTGTAATCCCAGCTACTGGAGAGACTGAGAACTGAGGATCACTTTAACCCAGGAGGCAGAGGTTGCAGTGAGCCAAGATCATGCCACTACACTCCAGCCTGGGTGACAGAGTAAGACTCTGTCTCAAAAACAATAACAACAACAACAACAAATAATAATAATAAATAACAAAAGGTCTTCCTGCTAACCTGCTCAGATTTGGACACTCCAAAGTGTTCTGTGGCCTCTGAACCTCAGTTTCCTCATCTACAAAATAGGGATAATAATATACAACTCAGAGAATTATTGTGTCTCATACCTATAATTCCAGCACTTTGGGAGGTGGAGGCTGAAGGATTACTTGAGCCCAGGATTTCAAAACCAGCCTGGGCAACAGAGTTGGACCCCGTCTCTAAACAAAAAGAAAGATTAACCAGGCATGGTGGCACACACCTATGATCCCATCTATGCAGATCACTTGAGCCCAGGAGGTCGAGGCTGCGGTGAGCTGTGATCGTGCCACAGCACTCCAGCCTGGGTAACCAAGTGAGACCTTGTCTTAAAAACTAAAAAAGAATTATTGTAAGAATTTGAAATAATATTCATAAATAACTAGTATAGTTCTTACCATGCTAGAGGTCCTGGAAATAGGGCAACTGTCATTATTATTTTTAATCCTCCTAGTTCGTTTTCTGCTAGTCTCAGACCACCAACGGGCATTCCGTTCCCATCTCTCACATCCCCCAACTGACCCATCCTACTTTTTATCATTGCACACGTTACAGGTACTCTGTCCCTTCTCTGTGAGAAGCTAAACTGTTAGAAGATTCTAATGGAAAAGAGGAAACTAGGCCACTAGGGCTCATCGCAAACGGCATTAGCTAACTGAAAGGAAAGGTACATGGAAAATGATGAGATCATATATCAAAAAATGTAGGTGCATGCTTCTTTCATCTAATTTTGGGGCCAGACCGAAAGCAGGAATGAGGAGGCAGCATTTCCTAGGAATGAAAAGCAAGCTGGACAAAAGACATAAAAAATTCTCAGCTTAGCAGAAATTAAGGAGATGCAAATTAAAATTATAAGGACATACATGTTTATACCTATGAGACTGGTAGAAATCTTAAAGTCTGAAAAAAATCAGATCTTGGCAAGAATTTTGGAGTATAACTTGATATAACCTCTTTGGAAAATATGGCCTTACCTAGAAAAATGGGGCATGTCCATATCCTACTACCCAGCAATTGCACTTCTAGGAATATTCCCCAGAGAAACTCTTACCCATGTGCACCAGAAGACTCAAATAAGAATTTTCATGGTTACATGGTTCTTTGTAACAGAAAGCTAGAAACAACCCAATGTTTGTCAATACTAGAATGGGTAGACAGTTATGATAAATTTATACAGTGAAGCACCATACAGCTGTGTAAACAAATGAACTACACCTGTGTGTATCAACTTGGATAACTCCTACATTGTAATTTTGAGGGAAAAATGTAAATCACAGAAGAATATGTACTGTATGATGTCATTACTATAAACACTAAAAACCAGGCTAACCTAAAGAGTATATTGTTAGTCATACATAAATAGAATGGTAAGCCTGTAATAAAAAGCAGAGGATGACAAACATAAAGTATGAGACCAGTTAGTTCTGAGTGAGATGGAAGGACTGCAGCCTGGAGTGTTGGAATACCTGTATTACTCAGAATCCTCCAGATAAATAAATAGGAAATAGGTAGATAGATATTTATTATAAAGTATTGTCTCACACCATTATGAAAACTGAGAAGTCCCACAGTCTACCATCTGCAAGCTGGAGACCCATGGAAATCAGGGAAGTAGTTTGAAGCCCTGAGAGCTGAAGAGGTGGTAGTGTAGATGCTGTCTCAATGCCTGAAAACCAGGAGAACTGAGAACAGGGAAAGATCTATGGCCCAGCTCAAGTAGTCAGACAGAGAGTGAATTCAGCCTTCCTCCCCCTCTTTATTCTCTTCAGGCCCACCATGGATTGGATAATACCTACCCACATTGGGGTGGGCAATTTGCTTTACTCAGTCGGTCCATTCAAATGCTAATCTTGGCTGGGTGCTGTGGCTCACGCCTGTAATCCCAACAACACTTCGGGAGGCTGAGGCAGGCAGATCACTTGAGGTCGGAAGTTTGAGACCAACCTGGCTCACATAGCAAAACTCCGTCTCTACTAAAAATACAAAAATTAGCCGGGCATGGTGGCGCACGCCTGTAGTCCCAGCTACTTGGGAGGCTGAAGTAGAGGAATCACTTAACCCAGGAGGCAGAGGCTGCAGTGAGCCAAGGTTGCACCACTGCACTCCAGCATGGGCAACAGAGCAAGACTCCATCTCAAAAAAATAAAAACAAACCCCATTCCTTTCCAGGAACACCCTCACACACCCAGAAATATGTTTAACCAGCTACCTGGGTACCCATTAGCCCAGTCAAGTTGGACATAAAATTAACCATCACAATACTCAAAAGGGTTTCAAAAATATTAGTAATGCTCTATTTTATCTGGTATACCTTTGTGGATGTATTTTAAGCAAGTAAAGATGAAGGTGGGAAACAACAGATAAGTGTGGCACTCTATTTCAGGGGTGGGGAGACGTGAATGCTGGGTGGCAGATAGCTGAGCAGAAACACAACAGGAGTACTTGACACTTGATTTCACTTTAAGGTGTTCTTTTTCCTCCATAAAGGGCTTTCTTTTTTTTTCTTTTGAGATGGAGTTTCGCTCATAGCCCAGGCTGGAGTGCAATGGCTCATTTTGGCTCACTGCAGCCTCCACCTCCTGGGTTCAAGCAATTCTCCTGCCTCAGCCTCCTGAGCAGCTGGGATTACAGGCGCCTGCCACCATGCCCAACTAATTTTTGTATTTTTAGTGGAGATGGGGTTTTACCATGTTGGCCAGACTGGTCTCGAACTCCTGACCTCAGGTGAATCACCTGCCTTGGCCTCCCAAAGTGCTAGGATTACAGGTGTGAGCCACCATGCCCGACCCGGATAAAGGGCTTTTAAAAAACTTTTGTCTAATTTATTATTATTTTCCTTTATAGGTTATGGGGTTTAGGTTATGTTTTAAAAGGTCTTTCTTAATCCCAAGATTATTTTTTTTTTAAGTTTGTTTCTCAGAGTACTTGAATGGGTTTTTATTTTTCTTTTGCATTTAAATCTCAGATCTTTCTGAAATTTGTTTTGGTTTTGGAGTGACTGAATGAACCAGCTTTATTTTTGTTTTTAAACAATTCAGTTAATACTTTATTTATTAAATAAGCTTCTTTTTACCCATGGATTTGAAATATGTTCTTTTTAAAATTTCCATATATATATATCTATATGTTTAGGTTTATTCCTAAACTATCTGTTCCATTGCCCATAGGAAGCTTTTTCAATTATTATAGTGCTATAATACATTTTAGTATTTGGAAAAGTTAGTAAGTTAGTGTACCTTCAATGCCTTCTTTTTCAAAACTTTCATGACTTTTATCTCATGTTAATTTTTCTAGATGAACTTTAAGATTTCTTCAAGT